GATTTCATTCCCTCGAGAGTTCCTGAAAGGCCAACGAATCGGCCACCATGGATAAATAGACAAGCTATAACACTCCTAAGACAGAGAAAAAGGTTCTGCAATCTCTTTGTTTCTACTGGGCTACAGCAGTTCCGGCTGAAATACTGTGAAACCAGAAACCGGTGGAAAACTTTGATTCACCAGTCAAGGATAGCTTACGAAACCCAGTTAGTTGAAAGTTCACCAGGCTGCCCAAAATGACTCTTCTCATATATCAAGAGAAGAACACGTAAGAGTGATGCTATCCCACCTCTTATGCTTGAAGATGACCAGACAAACATGGCTGAGGATAACTTGACTAAGGCTGAGGCTTTGTCCAAACACTTACGTCAAGTATTCTCTGATAATATTGACATCAGCTTTGTAACTTTTCCAGAAGATAACTTGAAAAAAGCACCCTTATACATTGGAAAGGATACTGTCCTAAAGTGGCTTCTAAGGCTCAATCCTGGTAAGTCCAGTGGCCCTGATGAACTCCACCCACGTATATTAACAGCATTGGCTGAAAACATAGCCGAGCCATTGTCAGTAATCTTCAATATATCTCTGAACCAGTCTAAATGTCCAAGAGACTGGAAAGATGCCATCATTAGTCTGGTCTTCAAAACCGGATCTAGAAACTTAGTTCAGAACTATCGTCCTGTTAGTTTGACCAGTATTGTTGTTAAACTACTAGAAAGAATAATTCATGATGCTATCATTCAGTTCATTGAAGGGAACAAACTTTTCGCTGTGGAACAGCATGGTTTTAGAGCAGGTCACTCTTGCTTGACCAACCTTCTTTTGGCCAGAGAAAGTTGGGCAAGCTCAGCTGATGCTAATATACCGGTGGATGCCATCGGCCTTTCATCGACCTTAGCAAGGCGTTTGACAGGGCTTCTCATTCAGGTCTTCTAGTAAAGTTAGGTAGTCTGGGAATCAATAAAGTGGTTGCCGACTGGATTCAAGACTTTCTAAAGGACAGAAGATAAAGAGTACGAGTTAACGGGGTTTCATCAACATGGGAATCGGTTAAGAGTGGCGTTCCTCAGGGTACAATTCTAGGCCCACTTCTTTTCCTGATTTATGTTAATGAGATTCCATCGGTAGTTAAGTCATCCTGCTTACTGTTTGCTGATGACATCAAGATATGGAGGGCTTTACACGATGACAGTGATCAACTTGCTTTGCAGGAAGATTTAAACTTGTTAAGTGATTGGTGTAAGCACTGGGCCTTGGAGATTAACTTAAGCAAGAGTGTAGTTATGCATGTATCTCTTAGTCATGTGCACAATTACTCAATGAATGGCATTACTCTCCCAGTGGTCACTGAGTACAAGGACTTGGGAGTGGTTGTGCAGCATGACTTGAAAACAGCAACAAACTGTAGAGCTGCAGCCACTAAGGGTTTTCGAATATTATGGGCCATACGCAAGGCTTTTGCGAACTTTGACGCTGAAATATTTCGTATATTATATCCGACTTATATCAGACCTCATTTGGAATATGGGATCCAGGCAGCGAGCCCGTGTTTCAAATACGAAATAGACTTATTAGAAATGGTGCAAAGAGTAGGAACTAAGCTAATAAAGGGTTTCTCAACCCTCTCATATGAGGAGAGGTTAAGTCGACTGGGTTTATTTCCACTGTCATACAGACGACTTAGGGGTGACCTAATACTAGCATACCGTATCCTAAGAAATGATTTTGGAGCTAATTTATCTAATATATTTCTTCCTTCTAGCACCAACCAATTGCGAGGACATCACCTCAAGTATCAAAAACCACGGTCGAATCGTCTGCATCTGGAGATCCGTGTTTCGCATCGAATTGTGAACCATTGGAACTCCCCAACGGAACACGTCGTATCAGCGCCATCCGTCGAAAAATTCAGGGCGAGATTGGGCCTCCTGCGTGCAGCAAATCGGAAGGATTAACACAGGCATATAGCCTACCATCCTAAATAAATTGTAAACTGGAACCTCAGGGAGAGTTGAGGGGCTGTGTTTTTTCTGGTTTGACGATGGCTGATGGTAGGTGATTTGGACTGGTCTTTGTGTTTCGCTGCCTAACTCTCTAACCATTTGACCAGAGAATATATCAAGCTTGGATTCCTCTCGGAAATCGTCTTTCTACCAATAGCTTTGTTTTCGTCGTCTTATATTCGTTAATGCTGTGATATTTGAAATTTATTTTATAAATCCTAACGGGGTTTTTTGTTAGTCTTTACTGATGCCTTTCACAGGAGATTATGTCCTCTTTATGATATCATGTTGCTCACATCTATTTCCAAGTTCCTTTTATTTATTCCGTCATTTTTAGCGATTGTTTCTATTGGTAGTATTATATCCCATGTTTTCGGTAGTAGTGATGAATCTTTCCTATTTTACCTGTTTGTTGTAGACTCGATAATTAAGGGTTCACTAATCACCCTCTGTTTCCACCTGCCTATGTTACGTCCTATAATTTTAATCCACTCTCGCTCCACTATTTATTGGTTTTGTCTTAATGCATGCAGTGCAATTGCTGAGCTTTTTTCTAAATTGCTTATCTTCTCTGGGTCACCCATTCTCATCTAAGCTAAATTCTTACTCTCCGACAATGTGATTTCCCCCGATCTACTATTTTGACCTATATAGTGGACCTCAATCACAGTTAATGCAAGGTATTTTGTAAATTATATTATTTTGTTTAATTGGGTCCACCGACAGGGTCTTTTAGCCTACAGAGTTTGTAGGTTTGAATGCCAACACCCTAATTGCTGCTTTTTTAAGAATCCTACATAGGGCCTCAGATGTCCATATGTCCATATATGGTATAACAGTAGATGACTTATATTCTCTCTTATTTATGTTATCATTATTAGTTTCACAATTATTTTTAATTTGCTTTTGGCCTTTTTCGATCTTCCTAATGAATTTTATAGGATAGTTATTTAACACCAACGCTTCTTCTCCTGTCTGTTTTATTTCATCATTTAGGTCTTTTTTTGTGCTACTTAGTGCCATTGCTCGGTTTGTTAAACACTTAACTAAGCCTGCCTTAACAGTTAAAGGATGAGATGAATTAAAGTCTAAATATCTATTAGAATGCGTTGGTTTTCTATAAACACTAGTGTGTAGTTTGCCTTCTTCTATTCGTTTTATTTTACAATCTAACATAGCTAATTCTCCTTGCTCATTTTCAGCTTCAAATGTGAACTTTATTCCCTCCACTAGTGAGTTTATGTGTGTCAAGAAGCTAGAGATATGTTCTGTTTTTAACACTGTGAAAGTGTCATCCACATATCTCCACCATATTTTTGGAGTAGGATTAAATGTATTAAGAGCATGACTGAATTCCTAAAGTATTTTCCTCAATGGGCAGCTTTGTCCTATGATTGAGTTCAGGATCTGCAGTTAGTTCTTTTTTTTAACTGCTTCTAAGGCCATATCGACTGGTATATTAGTATAAAGACTGGTTATATCAAAACTAACCATTGTTTCATCATTATCTAGTTGTATGTCATTTTGTTTATTTTTCATCTCATATGAATTAGTTAGTCTAGAATTTGAACTATATCTAATGGGGCATAATATTAGAGCTAAATGTTTTGATAATTCATATGTAGGGGTATTTCTAAAATCTACTATTGGTCTTATGGGATAACCTGGCTTATGTATTTTAATAGTACCATACATTCTACTAGCATTATTAGTTTTAGGCATTAAATTAAACCATTTTGACTCACCCAGTGACGGCTTCATTCTGCGTACTAATTCCGCTGTGGATTTTTTAACCTTATTCATTATTGTATCTACGGGCTTCTTGATTTCCTCATATGGATCCATTTCAATATGTTCAGTGACTTTCTTGATGTAGTCAGATTTATTCAAAACTACGGTGGCGTTTCCTTTGTCAGCTTTTGCGATGACAATATTTTTATCCTGTTTTAGACTAATTAAAGCTTCTCTTTCCGATTTTGTCAAGTTTGATTTTGCCTTCTTTTGATTTTTTAGGGTTAATGCACATTGTGCTCTAACCTCTTCTGCTGTTGTCTTATCTATTGAACCTAGTGCTACTTCTATGTTAGGAATGACATCCTCTGGTTTTAATTTATTAACTGTTACGTTGAAATGTAGTCCTTTCTCCAGTACTTTTATCTCACTGGAGCTTAGTTCCCTTGATGAGAGGTTGATCACCCACTTTGTTTTGTCGATAGAGGATGAAGCATTGACATCAATTTCATTTGCTGTGTTCTTTTCTTCAATAAGTTTGTTGAATTTTTTGATTTGTGTGTTTTTTGATTTTCTTAATGCAGATTCTCTAGCTTTTTTGGATGTTTCAAGAATAATTGTATAATCTTTGTCATTGACCATACATTTGAGTTTATGTTAGTGTGAGTTGTTCAATTTCATTTCCTATATTATTTAGTTTCACACAGTAATTCGATGTAGTTCTTCTCTTAGTCATCAGTAAATATTACTGTATAACAACACTGTGAGACTTTATGAAAATAAATTTTGCCCATAATGGAGTTATACTCTACCACAGTGCACAAGTTTTATTCTTATATCAATGACACATATAGTGAGAAAAGCCACAATGGAAAATGTTTACTTTATTTTGAAGCGTATTTCTATTTATCAATACGAAAGCAATTTCACGTACTCTGTCGATGACGGATAAAGCGAAGAGGTTCGTCTATGAGGTGACGTTGAAACCCGTCACTGTCCCCTGGTTCTGTGATACAAAACCTTAACTATGCTTAAAGAAATTATAACAACAACCTCGAAATTGTTTTAAGTGATCACTCAAAAGTTTCTTTGGTGTTAGCATTGGCTAGCGTAAAGATACCGAATCTTGTTTCTACATCTGTTCATGCTTTTACGGTGACTTTTATCCCATTCCCCTATACTGACTTGCTTATTCTACAAGTTCTAGTGTTCTCCGTTAGGCCGCCGAGTAAAGCCATACGGTTGGAAAGAAGTTCTTTTTTTTAAATCCAACTTTTATTTATTCAGAATATTCATTGTGATAATATAATGCATAACAGTATACAAAACAAAGCAGTTGGACTGTTTCATGTACAGGGAAAGGCATAATATTCTTTAGACTGGACAATCTGAGATCTATTTCTTTTTGTCTGGTTCTGTGTAGCCTTTAATGTATCGTTTTGGTATTCCGTATGATTCTGTAGAGATAATAAATATCAAAAACAAAAAAGATGTTAAGATGAAATTATCATAATGCAACAAGCATATGAAGAGCAATTCCTAGACACACGGTTCAATCCCCATTTCTATTCAATTTCATCATAGATGTACTAATGGAATTAACCCTGACTAACTTCAGCCACCCAAGGATTGACTTGTTACCACCAGGGAATAATCTCGTTGACTTAGGATATGCAGATGATATAGTCCTCATCCCTTCTAGGTGAAGACCCTGACAAAATGCCAAGTCCTCTCAACATCTTGAGCAGCAATCTCCGGATGTTTGATGTGCGACTGGCTCCCGCCAAATGCAAGATGATGTTACAGGATTGGACTACACTGACTCCTAGCTTAGAAATAGGGAGTGAAGTGGTAGAGCACGTTAACCGCTTCACTTATTTGGGAAGTTGCATCAGCCAGTGCCAACGGGTTGATCATTGACGAAATCTCAGCACGGATATATAAGGCTAGTTTCGCATATGCCAGTTTACACCATCTATGGCGTAGACCTGATATCCGTCTGGCTATCGATCAAATGGCATGTGTACTGCTCAGCAGTCCACTCCGTCCTCCTTTATGGCTGTGAGACCTGGCCACTGAGAGGAGAGGACATGAAAAGACTGGCTAGCTGTCTTTGATCATAGGTGCCTGCGTTCTATCTCCCGTGTGATGTGGTATAATAGGCTGAGCAATATTGAAATTAGGTCTCGGTCGAGTGCTAGGTAAGGAGGGGAGGGAAAATCAATCGACGAGGCCGTGAAGTTACATCGACTGAGATGTTACACATGCCTAACCATCGCCTTCCTCGACGGACGGGTAATGTTAGCTGACATGGGACTCGTCAGGTAAGAAAAGAGCTAACCAGTGGTGGTCAAACCAAAACATGGCTTCATCAGTCAAAGAAAAATCCACAACAGTTAGTTTAAGCCAGCGACGTAGGAAGGTGTAGACTTCTTGATTGGTTGGGGTCCTCGGGATGGTAAAAATCAATGGAGGCTATAGACAATTGGTGATATGGCTCAAAGTGATCGTTCTCAATGGCTGGCGCAGATGCATCCACTTCTTGTGACTTATAATTTCCAATGAAACTATATTGTTCTTCGTTATTACTATTCCTTTTGTCTCATATCCCTATCTACTGTCTTTATTTTGCATTTCTTCTTCTTTCTTCTCTTGCTTTATATGCTACATAGAGTGTGGCGACTTGAACTGCTGCACATCGGGTGCAAAGTGCTATGTTGAAAACAGACACACACAGTTCAATTCATAAATGATGAAAAGGCAACACGTACTTCAGCAAACAGGCTCTTTTCGGCGAATTCATCATTATCATCATCTTCTTCTTCGTCAGCTGTACAATCACATTTACATACAATTTTTTCCAAAACTCCCTTTCCTGATGTTAAACTACCAAGACGACCCGCCAGGAGCTTAAAATGGTTAATCCATGAGAAACCTATTTAGAACAGTCAAGTAACAAGTTTCTACGGTTAGGAGGTGCCTGTTGGATGAAGACGGAAAATTTAATCAAACCCCTTGCCACTCGAATCCGAAGAATTTGTAGTTCTGACAATCTAGAAGCACAACTAGGTCTTCTGAAAGAAACCTTCACCCAAAATAGATAACCCGCCAAAGTTCTTCGACAAGAATATCAAACCAAAGGTTCACAGAAACGAAGCATAACTTGTTTCAGAAAAGATACTTTGCTTGAGTTTGAATTTCAAGGGAGACTTAACTTGCGACATCCTCATGAGAAGAATTTCAGCATCTTTGAGAAGAACATTCTTTGCAGCAACGCTAAGAGCAGTCTTCTCCAGTCGTCCATTAGTCTGCAGAAGCCTTAAGAACAAAATCTCCTATCTGACCTCTTTTGTGTGTATAACAGTTCACTTGTTGCAGTAGGCCTAGGCACATTGGTCGTTCAACGCTTATTCTGTACTAAAAGGGTTGAAGAACACTATCCAACATGGTTGTAGAAAGGTAGAAGTGGCTGCATAAGGAGTACTATAATCGAACACCTTGTCAACACTGGTCATGGCATCTCAACAAACACCTCTTTCAAAGTAAACCCACAAAAGTGAAGAATAACCTGTCAAAGGCAATACGCTTTCGTTTCCTCTGCATTTCTGAAGCCTTAGCCATAATGATAGAGAAACCGGAGTTAAGCATACAAAAAAAAATAACTGAACCATTTCTACTCTCATGATAACAAGCTTGCTGATTTCTACCACCTGGATTTTTGTTCGTTTGTTTGTTATTCTAACTATAACTCCATATAACTCTTGCATTTCTTTAGAACTCGTACATAATTCCATATTGCTCTTCGTTTCTATTAGCATCCTGACTACAACTCACTCATTTGTTTATTCATCTTAATACGCAACTCTAATACACTTATTCACCTCCTTTTATGCATTGACTAATAATATGAACGACTAAGTTTGTGATAACTCGTTACTTCTGCTACTACCCTCTTTCATGGGAGAAGAGTTGTACACTTTCATTGGACACCAGTAAATAGTGTGATGTGTCTAGTTCTTTGTTTGTTTAGTGCACACTGAATTCTATCATCAGTCAGGTTTACAATATGACCACCATTCTAAGCACTTTGCCATCATGGTGCACATCTCAGAAGGGACATGAGTAACTCTTCAAGTTTGCAGATACGCTTTGCTGTGACTGGTGAGTACCAACTAGCACGGAACCCATGTCCAAGGCATCCAACCATCTAACATCAACAGAATAATTGTAATATAAATGGGATTGTACAGCTAAAAAGGGGAAGATGAATTCGCCGAGAATGAGTCTTTTTTTACTGAACTACATGTTTTGTTTTCATCAATACAAAGTTCAAAAAAACACGGAACCCATCTGATTGCCTCCCACTTCACAGTTTGTATATCACTGGCTTAACAACCCTCTTCTGATACAAATCATCTATCCGTAGATGAATGATATCACAGACGAAAGCACACACACACACATTTGCACAACTCCTTGACCTAGATAGAACCAAATTTCATTTATAAGCACATTAAAAATAAAGTAATAAAGCCAAAGCAGACATTACTTTCCCCGGTATACAAAACTCAAAGCACTTAAGAGATAATATCTTCTCCATAGGTTTACATGAACAAAACGGTTAGAACAAGGTGGTGGTGTACAACAGCATTCATTAGTCACCTTAAAGTAGCGTTACTGACTAGTTTCAACATGGAACTTTGCACTGATGTCCAGTTGTTGGAGTATTATAAACCACAAGGAGTGAATGCATCTGCGCCAGCCATTGAGAACGATCACTTTGAGCCATATCACCAATTGTCTCTAGCCTCCATTGATGTTTACCGTCCGAAGGAAGCCAACCAGTCAGGGAGTCTACACTTTCCTACGTGGCTGGCTGGTTGGCTTAAACTAGCTGTTGTGGATTTCATTGACTGATGAAGCCATGTTTCTGTTTGACCACCACTGGTTAGCTCTTTTCCAACCTGACCCTACATCAGCGTTAGCTAATCATGAAACTCCTCACCTAGTCTTTTTATGAAGAATGCGATTTTGGAGTCTACTCCCTCCCTGCCGTCGCATTAGTAAAACTAACAATGGATAATATTACTCATAGTCAGAAGTAATTCGTCCAGAAAGCATGCACGCCAATAATAATCATAATAATGAATGTAAAGATATACACACATTTCCTTACCTGTCAACAATTTAGAGATTGCTGCAAGATGTACACCTTGTGCTTGAATAACAATTTTATTCGGATATTGTTGGTCTTCTGTCCTTCCAGCTGAACAGGCCAAACTTGTTTTTAAGTGTTTTGAAAATGTGTCTGGATTAATGTGGAAAATTTCTAGATCTGCTATCCTAGTCTACAATTTTGTATTTAGAAGAGAAAAAAGCAACAATGAGATGGTAAGAAATAATAAAAGCTTCAAAATACCTTTCTGCTGAAAATATGTTTAATAACTAGTGAGAATCTTTGAAATTAATTTTCCCCGGTGAACTTGGAATGGGAGGAACCTGAAAGAAACAACCTCCTTTACCTACCGACCTGGAAAGCATCGTTTCAACTACAGGCGGACGGAACTGATGAAGATATCAAAGCGAGGATCGAGGAAGAAGGGTAAGCGGTCATTTCTCTTAAGTCTGTGTGGAGATCAACAGCACTTAGCATGAAACACAAGATCCGGATTTTCAACTCTAATGTGAAGTCTGTCATTGCTACTATACGGATCAGAGACTTGGCCAGCGCGTCATAAACAGCATCTCAAACAAACTACAGACCTTCATTAACAGTTGTCTTCGCTCAATACTCAAGATCAGATGGCCGGCCAGAGAAGATCAGCAACAGAGATCTCTCGCAATGAGCGAACCAACCTAGCAGGAACCGATTGTGAAACAAATAGGCAGGAAGAAATGGAGATGGATTGGCCGTACTCTGAGCAAAGAAACCATCTAGTGAGTGACATCACTAGACAAGCCATTGCTCGAGTGGAACCCGAAAGGGAAGCGGCGAGTTGGTCGTCAGTGCAAGGGTGAGGGTGACTTGGAGGAGGTCATGCGAAGAGGAGATGAAAGCGTGTGGGCAGACATGGAGCCAGATGAAGATTCTAGCAGAGAACCGAACGCAATGGAGATGCGCAGCTGAAGCCGTATGTTCCTCTAGGAATTAAAGGAAATAATAATAACTTCGTTTCATTGATTTTATAGACTCCTTACAAAGTGAATGCTAATTTGAATAATCTTAGTAATTCAATCCTTATTATTTTTAATTTCAACTCTATGCATCATAGTCGAACAGATCATAGAATGGCAGTCAAATGTCCCTTTAACTCGCCTTTATAGACTTACAAAAGGCTTTCACCAGACAGTGTTGACCGAGAAGTAATTTGGAAACTACTTCAACACTACGGAGTGCAGTCCAAGTCTTTATAAACCTCATTCAACAGCTATATTGACCATGTCATTTGTCAGGTGATCCACAACGGAAAACTCGAAGTCAATACAGGAGTAGGACAAGTCTGCTTGCCTATTATCAACAATGATATTCCTAATTGTGGTGGACTGGATCGTGCGTCAGACTGTGAGTGGGGAGCGCGGAGACAGGAAAGACTGAACTGACCGATAAGAAGACTCTAGAAGATCTGGATTTCGCGTGTCGGTGATTTGTGTTTCATATGACACAAGCCCGAAAACTTTCATGCGAAAATCAACAAACTGGCTGGGGAAGTAGCCGGCAAAGACAGGACTGCAGGTGAACATAGAGAAGACGGAGGTGATTTAACAGAGGTCTCCTCCTTCAACTTATCTAGGAAGCATCGTTTCCACTGCAGGCAGTCGGAACGGATGAAGATCTCAAAACCAACCAGCTAGGATCGGAAAGGTAAGATACGCACGCCTTTATCAACTTGAAACCAGTTTGGAAATCTTCTGCACTCCGCCTCAGCATCACAAGGAACAAGATTCGGATTCTGTTCAACACAATGTGAAGTCAGTCAGTTAGTCGATTCTTCTATATAGGTCAGAAACTTGGCCAGCGTATCGCGAAAAGGATTTCGGACAGCTGCGCCCTTCGCTGGCTCTATACTGAAGATCAAATGGCCAGAAAAAATTAGCAACAAGAAACTCTGGCTGGCAACAAACCAAGAGCCGATCGTTCAACAAATATGTAGAAGAAAATGGAGATGGATTGGACACACACTGGAGGGACCGTCGAATTACATCACGTACCAGGCCACAATTGGAGAGGTGTCCCGATGGGAAACGACGAGTGGGGTCGTCGGTGCAAGGGTGACATGGACGAAATCATTTTGGGAGGAGGAGATGAAAGACTATGGGCAATTATGGGGCCAGCTAAAGAGGACTGAAAAGAACAGGACGAAGTGGAAACGCGCTACTCACGCCTTATATCTCACTTGAAACCCGAGGGCACAATAAATACACAGCATCATCGTTATATATTTTCAAAGCAACGATTGTTACTCTCAAGCCGACTGAGGTACATGAAACATTACTCTTGAATAAAATTAATGTGAATAAAAATTCCTTCAGATTCAAAGTAGTTGTAAAAAGGAACGAATGATAAGGCAAATCGGTGTCTTAGTCCGCTCAAAATATCCCTTAATTTTAGTCACCAAAATGTATACGCCGAACCACCTTATTCCTCAGCTAGCGATTATTAACTGGAGTTGAGAAATGACTTAGAGTACGGGTGAGACCAAAACGGCATCACCAAGTCAGTGACTAATAATATCAGCCGTATAAGTAAGTGTGTAGTCACCAAGATTATTGTTATTATTTCCTTTAATTCCTACAGGAACATAGAGATTCAGCCGTGCGTCTCCATTGCGTTCGGTTCTCTGCTAGAGTCTTCACCTCGCTCCAAGTCTGCCCATACACTTTCATCTCCTCTTCACATGACCTCCTCCAAGTCACCCTTGCACTGACAACCAACTCGCTTCCATTTCGGTTTCCACTCGAGCAATGGCTTGTCTAGTGATGTCACCTGATGACTTCCTTAGAGTATGGCCAATCCATCTCCATTTCCTCCTGCTTATTTGTTTCACAATAGGTTCCTGGTTGGTTCGCTCTCAGATATCTCATCCTGTTGCTGATCTTCTCTGGCCGGCCATCTGATCTTGAGTATTGAGCGAAGACAACTGTTAATGAAGGTTTGTAATTTGTTTGAGATGCTCTTCACGACGTGGTGCCGAGTCTCTGATCCATAAAGTAGCACTGACTTCACATTGGAGTTGAAAATCCGGATCTTGTGTTTCATGCTAAATGCTGTTGACCTCCATACAGACTTGAGAGTAGTGAAAGCCTGTCTTGCTTCCCCGATTCTTGCTTTGATATCCTCGTCAGTTCTGTCTGCCTGTAGATCGAACGATGCTTCCCAAGTAGGTAAAAGAGGTTTTTTCTTTCAGGTTCCTCCCATTTATGCTGATTGTTGTACGTTGTTGTTGTTGCTGTTGGTGGTGTTGCCCAGGAATCTTCATCACCTCTGTTTTCTCAATGTTCACCTGAAGTCCTATCTTCTCTGGATGCTTCTTCTGACAACTTGTTGCTTTTTGCTTGCATATCTTCCAGTTTGTGAGAAATCAGACATTTATCATCGGCAAAGTCCAGATCCTCCAAGTTTTTTTTATGTGAGTCTATTTCATGCCTGTTTCCTCATTGCCCGCTGTTTGTCGCATTATCCAATCTACTGCAATCAGGAAAATCATTGGCGATAATAGGCAGCCAGCTTGTCTTACTCCTGTCCTCACTTCGAAGGCACCTGAGCCAGACACTGACAACGATAATTTTTAGACTGTCTTTCTGCAATCGACATAGAACTTTGCACGAATGTTCAAGTCGCCACACTCCCTCCTTGTAGCACACAAAGCAAGAGAAGAAATGCATAATAGAGACAGTAGACAAGGATATGAGACTAAAAAATAGTAGTAATGAAGAACAAAACAGTTTCATAGGAAATCATAAGTCACAAGGAGTGGAAGCATCTGCGCCAGCCATTGAGAACGATCTTGAGCCATGTCACCAATTGTTTCCAACCATTGGCTTTTACCAACCAGGAAGTCTACACCTTCCTACGTGGCTTAGACTAACTGTTGTAGATTTCATTGACTGGTGCCATGTTTTCGTTTGACCGCCACTAGCTCTTTTACAGCCTGACCCTATGTCAGCTAACATTGCCCGTCGAGGAAGGCAATGACTAGGCATACGTAACACATGTCCTAACCATCTCAGTCGATGTAACTTCACAGCTTCACCGATAGATTTTCCCTACCTACTTAACACTTCAAATATTACTCACCCTACCATACCACCTAACACAAGAGACTGTTTGGCATTTTTAACAAGAGGAAAATGATACACCTTGAACATAGGTCTGATGGTTTTCCAAGAGGTCCAAAGTATTATAAACACCTTAGACATTTTTATATACATACAAAAACACAGAGGTAAACAGAAATCGACTTACCAATTTCTTTCCAGCTTTTGTAACAGTATATAAGTGAATATACGGCGGTTCTTTCTTATTCCAAATCACAGGAGGAGACATGTCTGGATAACTTATACGATATGCAGGAGATAAATTCTTCAAAGCTTGTGAAATGAAATCCCGGAAACTGATATGGAAGACTGGATTCGCAATAGTGCTGGCACTGGACTCCACAAACGTTTTTGGATCACATATTTTCATCAATAATTGATCAAGACAAATCATGCTGCAAAAAAAAATACTAAGTAGTTTTGTAAACAATGAACAGGTAACACAATATGACAGGGAAATTTCGAGTGATACAATGCTTAGCAAACGTTACAGTGTGTTTGTGTGTGTGTGTGTGTGTAAACAATTTGTGTAGTAGGAGAAAGTCAACCATGATTACTATTCGCCCATATTGTTGATTGCATTTCGAGTTCCTGTCTAGTGTTGCGTTCAAAACATAAGATTGAAGAGGAACTCGCAGTCATCGAAAAGAAACCTTATCGAAAACGGATACCCTCGAAAGTTCACATCAAAATATGGGAAAGAGACAACACCTAGACCGAAACCCAAAACAGTTTTGAAAAGAAACCAGTTTTTATCTGTCTAGCGTACAAAGACGAAGAGGTATCCATAGGAACGGAAAACAGAATTAAAGATGCATTGAAAAGAACATTTCCCGCAGCAGCCAGACTCATTCCACTTTACAACACAGTATGCTCGTTAACCCAGTCAAAAGTAGATAAGTATCCTCCAGCTGCATTTACCGACTCACTTGCACTTGCAGAAGCGAGTACATAGGATGGACTGAGAGAAGAGCGTCTACTAGATTCTCCGGGCATATCCCTAAAAGTTTACGTTTGAAAGGCAGTAAAGTGTTCTCAAGCACAATCGCCAGACACCCAATCAATCAATACATAAAGAAAGCCACGGTTACTTCGGTTCGCTAGAAGCCATTGTCATCAAAAGACTTCGACCCAACCTGTGCATACAGAAAGAGAGCGTGAGTAATCTCTCACTAACCTACCTGGCAACTGTGACTGTTTTGTTTGTGTGCTTTTGTGTTTTGTTCTATTGCATAACACTCCATTCAATCTTGATTCTGAGTTGAACTCACTATTAAGGCTCCAAATCTACTAAATTAAATTTATTTTTATCTATTTTATAATTTTACTTCACTGTTCACCCCCACCCTGCTGAACTCTCCATCATAATATGTATGGATTTACTCTGCTGTTCTGTCTTGTATTTTGTCTCTATTCCATCCTTGTTTCCAAGAGAAATTTGAATTCCACCCCTCCCTCCCCCCTTATCTAATTACTATATAAATAGTTACTCTTTTAACACTAAATACTTGTGTACTTACATCATCTTTGAAGTATTTATGTTGCTTATACTTTGTGTCTATATAACTTGATCAGAAATATTGTAACTCGTAATTGATTTTGTGTAGGATGTAGGCAGTTGAACAAAGAATCCATGAGATAAAACGAGTTTGTATTATCCCGGCAAATATGTTCATTCTTTTTTTTATTCGAACTACCCTAGCCTAGGCAACAGTACAGGATCATAAGTCACTACACAACAAGTGTGGCTCATAATTCAGTAGCGCGTAAATTGCTACTAACTAACTTTTGACTGCAAAAACAAAAAACGGCACTGTATTATTCCCTAATTTTTTACAAGTCTTGATAAAAATAAAAGCGTTGGTGGTTCAGCGGTAGAACGCTCGCTCGCTAACCATGCACATGGTTCGGGGTTCGATCCCTGAGCACCAACGTACACTCCTTTTAACTCGCTATGCCGGTGTGTGGCCGGTAAAGAGGAAAGGTTGGACATGAGGCTAGCAACCCCACCCCGTAAAAGTAAACACCACTGCTACCGAAACTCCAAAGCTCTAGCTTGAAGCCCAGTTCCACTGGGAACGCAAAGGAATAAAATCTTATTAATTTTTTTCCTTCACGTTCCCCAGTGGAACATAGGGCTTCAAGCTAGTGGCTTGAAGTTTCTGTAACAGTGTTCATTTTACAGGATGGGGTTACTAGCCTCATGCCCAACCTTTCCTCTTCACCAGCATTATTTCTGGCTCAGTGAGGTAAAGGAGTGCGTCGGCCGGCGATCGAACCCCGGACCATGTGCATGGTTGGCGAGCGTCGTAACCGCTATACCAGTGACGCAATTAATTAATTAATGATAAAAAAGTCTGTGTATTAAACAAATAGAGAGATTGAGAATAACTGATCACTACCGAAGATACTGAATGATGATAGTATCCGCTTAACTCATGAATTACATAAAACTGACAAATGGAGATCAATGTGTGGCGGTGTGATACAGACAGTGTGTTCCAATGGAATATTATTCTCACAGAATACTATATATGTATATATATTTGAACATTCTATTTCCTATCGTTTATTGTAAACCAAAATCACACACCCAGTGACTGGTTAAAGAATATAAACTGTATAGATATAAATAGCGGTTTGATTACTTGAAAATATATGCCGTGTCTTGCCTCCTGCTGTTACAAATGAACTCTAAGCTCTAAACGAAGTCAAAATAAAGCATTAGAGTTTTGCGTAGTGTAGTATTGTGAACTGGAGCCAAAAATTAAATGGATTCATTTTTGAGTGATACCTGGTTTTCGGTGATATTTTGGGGGGGGAGGGGGATTATGCTAACACGCAGTATTGGAAGTATTCTTCACCCCCCCCCAATGCACAGGAAACAACACCTATAGGATGGTAATAATGTTCCGCATTCAAAAAGGATCCTGTTTTATTTTTCAAGAAAACATATTTCTGTGGGGAGAGGGGCGACGGGGTGGAAATAATTAAAATTTCTGTTGAAAGCTGTTGACCAATTCTACTCAGCAAATACTGTTCCGATGAACAAATACAATGCTTTATATAACTATGAATAAAATTAATGTAAACATGCCATGAAGTTATAAAATATGTTGAAAATTATATTCAGTAGAAACATACAGAAACTAAGAGTATTTACCTAGGATCCTCAGTAGACTGCAGCTTATGCATCCGGACATAGTTATCTAGAGATTTTCGAGCTTCTGATTGACTTATTGATTCACCTGGCCTTGAAAGTGAAAAAAAGAGGCAATCAAGTTTCAGTTCACCTTTTATATATGAAACCAGTGGAAATAAGGACTTCTCATTTTTATTCTCCGTGAGTCAATGGTTCTGGGAAGTCATGACCAGTGGAGTACAGCAGGTCGGGTGTGAGGACAAATACTCGCCACGAAGGACATTGGCTAATGGTCACGCTATGTCGTGAATAGGCAGAAGTTGGAATTCATGGGCTGGCCATTGGATCTGGCTCCAGTGGCTTAATGGTCTGCGAACTAGTTCGCCTTGTAACCAGAAGGTCCTAGTTTCGAACCCCGGTGGAAGTGCACTGCTAAGGAGTCCTAAGTTAAGACGAAATAGATATCCAGTACTCCTAGGTTTTCCAATAGTTCTCTTGCCGATATCAGCTCACGATGAAATCCTGTAACCAGTCGTTGGTTCATTGGCAGATATCACATGGAAGGTCTGGATTTGATTCGCGGCTGACGTACTCCAAAACTTCGCCTAGTTTACTAGCTGGTAATAAGCCCAGAAAAGGTGTAAGGTTGGATGTGAAACCAACCCACCCCAACTCGACATGCTGTCATTTATATCCCCACACGTTCAAAGCCTCTACTAGGTAAGTCCTAGTCACCGCCTTCACGTGGCGTGGCGGATGTTCCTAACAAAAGTGAAAGGGCGAATCAGAACGTCTAGTGTACATGCAGGTCCACACTTAGGGGAGCTGAAAAACCCTAATTCCACACCTGTAGTGTATATATAGGCTTCAAAACCCGAAATGATCAAATGGTGTATGGACCTGTGTTTTGGTCACCTGCAACCATGTGAACGCTGTTCCAACGCCTCGGTGATCAGACTTCAAGTCAAGGGCTCATTGGTATGGATCCTGAAGACAAACACCTGCTTAGGTCTAGCATCCAGGGTGGTATATCTCAGCCCTCGCATCTCTTTGTGTCGATAATGTCCCAAATTTGTTTAGGTTAGTTTTTACAGTATTTTCATAAACCTGGATAACAAGTTTTCTGATTGCCACTAAACCTTGGGTAAGTAAGACAATACACCGCCTTCTGCAAACCATTAAGCTGAATTATTATTCTATTAATGGTGAGAACAGGAGACCCAGCTCTTCTATCGCGAAACATATTAGAGAAACGGGACATAAAATTGACGTTAACACATCTTTTAAACCTATCTATAAAACGTGTTTGGGGCGTATCCTAAAGTTTGTGGAAGCCCCAGCTAGCGATTAGGAAGTTTAAACCACCTTTATGCGTTCAAAAACAATTCGTCATCACATTAAACCTTCCTTGGTAAATTTTGTTTTGATACCAGCCAGGGTAGATGTACTATTACCTCTGCTATTTGGTTTAGTGGTCTTCATCGTTATTTTGACCTTGAATATGTTCTTTTAACTTGACCTAAGTCTATTTTCTCATATATATTCCTATGACAAGTCCTTGTGCGATCAGACTGTTCGAAATGTGTTGCGCAAATACATTACACGATTCAGACAAACTACGTCTTTTTATTGCTTTGTCTAATTGAAGATTCTTGGCTAGACAGGCGTCATTTTGATTTAACAGAAATTTATTGCAATACTATTGTAAATATAACAAAAGCCTTTATGATTCATTTATATCTTGTCAAGGATTGAGTCGTTGGTCCAGCCGTAGCACTCTAGCCAACCACTCATGTGGTCCGGAGTTCAGTCTCCTGCCTACGTACTCGCAAACCCCTCTAAGATAGTAGTAAGACCAGTATAGAGGGGAGGCCGAGTTTGAGGCTAGCGATCCCACCCCATAAAAATAAAACCATTGCTACCGAAACTTCAGGGCTCTAGCTTGAAGCCCTGTGTTCCAATTGGAGTGTAAAGGGATAAAAAAGATGTCAGTGATTACACTAAAGGTCAATAGTAGGACTTTTCATGAAATCAAGCCATTTATGAAGTGACTTCGATTTATTTAATTATTTATATCTTCGTATATTGTGGACACTAAGGGATGCGCCACATAAAATGTCAAATACACATTACACACACGATTCAGACAAATTACGTCTTTCTAATTGCTTTATCTATATTCCAAGTTCATCAAGGGACTAACTTTACGATAGATTTCATCATCAGCTTCTCTCTTCCATTTATTTTTGCCTATAATAGTAATATCCTTGCACCACATTTCACCTTTTATTATTAGCATGCTATTGTAATAAAGCATGGTAACTTGAATTGATGCACTTAATATGAAGAAGTCCATAATGAGTAAACTTTTAAACGTTCGCCGCCGCCGCCTCTGAAGGTCTGTATTGACATAAAGACTGCTGAAGTAGTCATTTCAATTATACCATATTACATATCTCTGGGAGCGAACCAACACAGCAGGAACCGATTGTGAAACAAATACGCAGGAAGAAATGGAGATGGATTGGTCATACTCTGAGGAAACCATCAAGTGACATCACTAGACAAGCCATTGCTCGAGTGGAACCCGAAAGGGAAGCGGCGACTTGGTCGTCAGTGCAAGGGTGAGGGTGACTTGGAGGAGGTCATGTGAAGAGCAGATGAAAGCGTGTGGGCAGACATGGAGCCATGTGAAGACTCTATCAGAGAACCGAACGCAATGGAGATGCACGGCTGAAGCCCTATGTTCCTCTAGGAATTAAAGGAAACAATAATAATGTAATATTACAGAATTCGAGATAAACGATAACCAAGTGGGAACACAATGTACAATTAAGCCAACAAATAAAGTAGACTCAGATGAGTTTTCTTTTTTTTGGCATTTTCCCATTATGCCACATTCTCCCCCCATATTGCATTTCCTCTCACGGAAAATTTGTTAGGAATAAAAGCAACTTACTTGTAACCAAACTGTGAAAACAATGCTGCAACTGATCCTTTAATTATTCCGATATTTTCTATTGTCGGTGGACCCATATACTCGTCTGGCCAATTACATACAACCTTTGGATCTGTAGCTGGTGCAGGAATGTGCACACCTCGTAATCTACATGAGTAAATAATTGTATGTACATACAAAAGACAAAAACTTTTGATGATAAACTGTACTGAATAGTTCATATCTTAAAAGTGACCACTAAAACGTCCTATTTCGCATGGAGCTATATATTAATAAAATTTAAGAAAACGCCTGATTAGCGTTGCAATCCTTTGACAACAGAAAAAATCTTCAATAGAACATTTCAGTTGTGCCATTTTATTGGAATGATACAATTTCACTTAACGCCACTAAATTTCTGGTGATATTAGATGGTTGGAGGCAATCGGCCACAGGAAGCCTTGCTTGACCTAGGTTTCGTGCTAGTTGCCACTCACCAGTCACCAAGGCGTATCTGCAACCTTGAAGGAACTCATATTAATACGTGTAAAACTTGGGCACTGTGGTAGTAAGTAATTCCATATTAGCTTGTTTATTAGATATTAGATATATCTAATAAACAAACCAATATTGAAGGAACTCATTTCCCTGGTCACATTGTAAACCTGACTGATAGAATTCTGCCTGCACCAAAGAAAGGACTAGATACATCACACTAGTTACTGGCTAGTGTCCAATCAAAGGATTAACCTTCAGTGGATCCTTAATTATAAAGTTACTTTATCCAAGCCCCCTCCACTCGCAAATAAACAATTGGTTATTCCATATTAGTTTGTTTATTAGATGTATCACACAGTCAGTGATACAGTATTATTTACTGGATGACGTTTCGAACAAAATTTATTGTTCATAATCATATCAATTGTAATCACACGACTTTGAAACTTGAGTTTTATAGTTTTCTTTGTTCTCTCCTATTTGTCGTCGTTGGGGTAGTAGAATTTTTCAGATATCTGGGTGGACAGGTGTTGACATAGGATGGGATGATCGAAAGTCCAAATATCTGTTTGAATGTGTGGGTTTTCTGTAAATACACACTAGTGTTTAACTTCCTATCTTCTTTCCTTTTTACATTGCAATCTAACATTGGCAGTTCCTGTTCCTGACTTTCCAATTCATAAGTAAATTGAATTGCCTCTACCTTCGAGTTGATGTGTTCGAAAAATCTATCTATATCTTGTGTTCTAAGTACAGTGAATGTGTCATCTACATAACTCCACCATACTTTTGGGGTGGGGGTGAACGTTTCAATCGCTATACTTTCCTACATATTCATGAATATATCTGTCACAACCGGGGATATTGGTGATCCCATGGCAACTCCTTCAGTTTGTTTGTATATTTTCCCTTGGAATTTAAATACTGTGGAAGTCAGGCATAGCTGCACTCCCAGCATCATGTACTTAGGTGGCACTTTTGTCCTAAGTTCGAGTTCTTGGGCAGAAATGAGTTCGTTTCTGACTGCCTCCATAGCCATATTTATTGGTATACGTGTATATAAACTGACAATGTCAAAACTAAACATTTTTTCTTCATTATCTAATTTTAAATTATCTAATCTGTGTTTTAGTTCATAAGTATTTGTTAGTCTAGATTTCGAGTGGATTTTTAGGGGATTTAATACCATGGCTCAATATTTAGATAATTCATAAGTAGGTGAATTTCTAAAATCAACTATAGGCCTAATAGGGTATCCTGACTTATAAACTTTAACAACACCATAATTAAAATTGATATATGATGTAGAGAACTTCTAGTCAGTGTTTTTTTCTAAACCGACATCGCAACACATGACTTTCATGATCCCAAAGATAAGAAATTTAAATATATTGTAAGAAGGCAGCATACATGTAATAAATAATGATACAGAAGTAACTACGCGCAGAAGTATCTACTAGTATAGTCCTTCTCTGTGTATTCAATACAATCAGTAGACTTTAAAGTTTATTAAATTTAACACCACAAAGCCAGTGAGACAACATATGCATTACCAATACGCTTTATTCAGTAATAATGCAGTCAACAAGATGTGTCTTAAGGTGAGGCGTAACGATATGATATTTGTTTAGTATTCATAAAACAAGGTACTGAAAACACAACATTTTCCACTGAAAAAAAGGAGATAAACCAATGGAGTTCCCGGTACTTACTCGATGTGATCTTTATTGATTTTATTTAACGTTAATACACCTGGTTTCGGTTCAGTTATTTCAACGAAACCTTCATCTTGCATTGCTTTCAAAAATACACCGACCTAAACAAGAAGCAATAAGCATTATGCAATCACTGTAGTCTTTAATTTTAAGAAGATATCTTCAGCGTGAAAAGACATAAAGACCGATCACTGTATTCATGCTTTTCATTAAATGAAAATACTAACAGCAATATAATAATAATAATAATAAAAGAAAGCATAAAGAGGGCCATTTACTTAGTGTTTTGCAGTAACTTAATAATACTATGTCTTATACTTTTCTCATTACATAAAGTGTGGGCCTGACAAACCAGCTATTGTAGAGTTTTTATAACTAGTCGTCCGAGCACACCGTCTTCTATAATTGCTTCTAGTTCTACCCGATGAGATAGATGCAAGGAGAGAGTTGTGTGTATAGAGAGTATGCGCAGGGTCTGACAAGATATTATTCGCTAATTTCTTGCTAGTTGTTGAAAGAAAACTCTATTGCTATCACCCTTTATCCGCTAACAGTACACCACCACTCTTAAACCTACATTAAAGTGTAACGAACTGGCAATTTAGTGGTGACTCCTTTTAGTCTTACCTTCATTTATAACTATTACTATTGTTTCCTTATGTTCCTAGAGGAACATAGGGCTTCAGCCACGAGTCACCATTGCGTTCGTTTCTCTACCAACGTTTTCACCTGGCTCCACTTCTGCCCACATGCTTTAATCTCGTCTTCAGATGGCCTCCTACATGTCAACCTCGCACTGACCACCAACAAGATGCATCCCATTTGGGTTCCACTCGAGCAATGGCCTGGCATGTGATGTCACTTGATGGTTTATTATCTCAGAGTATCGCCAATCCACCTCTATTTGTCCTACATGTTTTGTGCAATTGCTTCCTGCTGAGTTGGTTCGTTCACTTCCAGAGATCCCACCCTGTTGCTGATGTTCCCCGGTCGGCCATCTGATCTTGAGTAGTATGGAGCGAAGACAGCTGTCGATAAAGGTCTGTAGTTTGTTCGTGACGCACAGTGCAAGCATCTGATCCGTAAGGTAAGTAGCACTGACTTCAACATTGGAGTTGAAAATCCGGATCTTGTTTTTCATGCTGAGTGCTGTTGATTTCCACACAAACTTAAGAGTAATGAAAGCTTGCCTTACTTTCCCAATCCTCGCTTTGATATCCCCATCAGTTCCGTCCGCCTGTAGTTGAGACGATACTTCCCAGGTCAGTAGGTAAATGAGCTTGCTTCTATCAGATTTCCCCCATATATGCTGATTGTTGTCTATTGTTGTTCCTGTCGCTGTTGGCCAGGAATCTTCATCACCTCTGTTTTCTCTGTGTTCACCTGAAGTCCTATCTTCTCTGGATGCTTCTTCTGCCAACTTGTTGCTTTTCACTTGCATATCTTCCAGTTTGTAGGAAATCAGATATATACATAGTGTTGCGATTTGATCGATGCATGACTTGTTTCTCCTGAATCCAGCCTGTTCCGGTAGAAGTTTTTTATCCAGGGCGTGTCTGATTTTCTCCAGGATGATGCGGCTTAGTATTCTGCTTGGGTTAGACAGAAGCATAATGCCGCTCCAATTCTCGCATTGACTTAAGTCTCCTTTCTTTGGCAGTTTGAATAAGTAGCCTTTCTTCCAATCCGCAGGTTCCTTGCCCTCTTTCCACACCTTCTCCAGTAGTGGTGTCATCAAGTCCGCTGATGTCTCTGGGTCCATTTTCAATGCCTCTGCTGGGATTCCGTCTGGTCCTGCTGCTTTTCCAGTTTTTAGCATCATTATGGCCTTCAGGATTTCTGCTTTCGTCGGAGGGTTGATATCCACTGGTAGTTCTGCTTCCGCTGTTGGTATTATTGGGCGCGTTGTAGGTGGCGATCGATTTAGAAGTCGTTTGAAGTGTTCAGCCCAGTGTTTCCTTTGCTCCACCTCTTTGGTGATTGACTTTCCATTGTATCATTGAAGATCAGTTATTGTCTAAGGCAAATAGTTGATTTTAACTGTTCCACAGTGCGGTGTATGCTACTGACAAAAGATTTATCAGTAGTATATAAAGAGACGTCCATTGAGACACAAAAATATCAAATAGTGGAGAGATAGATTTCACGTCAAAGAGAGAGAGAGAGAGCAAATGAACCAGTATTGCAACAAAACATGGGAGACACCAAACGAAGACAAAGAAACACAATATGCGAAGGAAGGATAGAAGTAGCACACAACACGAAAGATCCGGGCAAATGACGATTTTCAGGTAAGGTGTACATAATTCCCTGCGTATGTGTACATCAAATTCCTAATACACATTCCGTTATCAAGTCTTTTGCCAATCCACCGTCACAACATGAGGTGATCATTGATTGATGAAGGGGTCACGTCACATCTTCTAGGAAATATACATCTATGTAAGAATGTGTGATGTTATGCTTGAAAATCACAGATTTGTTAAGTCAACCATCAACTAACCTTTTTAAATTTTGTTTTCTTAATATCCAGATCCACTGAAGGAGGTCTGTAACATGAATTTAAAAAAAAAAAAGCAATAAACGCCTATGATAAGGGAGGATTTCACCGAAGAAATAAAGCACAAAAGTAAATAATAAAACCAATAATAAATTCATTAGCTTATTCCTCACCCAAGTGATAATGCATAAGCTAAAGGTTAGGGTAGAGAGCCATTGTTCGCTATGGGCACCGTACTAATCAGTTAAGTCTCTGATCGGTGAAATGAATTTCATCGGAAAACTCTGTTTTCTAGGTTGGTGTTCATGAGACACACTCGTCATAGATAACTGGACACAATTAAAGCACAAGTTGCAAGGGAGTTTTATTATCATTTTTTTATTCCTTAACGATGGCCTGGAATGCAATGTCGCTCAACGGTCTCTTCAGAGTGGGTCTGACCCACATCTATTTTCTTCGGTTTATTTGTCCGGCTATAGACTCTTAGTTGGTTTGTTCCCAGCCACAGGTTCTTGTCGCTAATTCTTTCTGGCCACTTGATCTTCAATATGGTCTTCAACCGTCGAAGACAGCTGTTAATAAAAGTCTGCGAACTGTCGGAAATGATTTTCGTGACTCGCCAAATTTCTTCACACACACACACACACATATCTTCATCCCACCATCCTTGACGTTCACGCATCGCTTAGAAGATGATTTTACCAAAAGTAAACATATAAGAGGCAACAGTGACCAAACATTTACTGTTGTGCACTACTTGAATAATGTATGTCATGAGTATTTATACGCTTTACCAGTTAGTGTTTATGATGAGCATGAAAATAAGTGTATAGACGCATGTAAAATAAATACTGTGCACACACACGAATACACCTTCAGAGTATAAGAATGCATCTGTCAAGATGTGCTTTGTATAGAGTTAAAACAACTCATCCAACACTGAACTGAGGCCAACTATACTCAAGAATTCTATATATATTATAGATTGCCTGCCTTTGTAAAAGCAATACATTTATGTATGTAATGGCTAAAAGCGATATGCCCGCAGTAGAATGCCCGCTAGCCACGCCCTACGTGGTTGCGGGTTCGATCCCCGGCCACCAACGCACTCCTTTACGTCACTGACCCAGTATTAAGACCGGTAAAGAGGGAAGGTTGGGCTGGGCATGAGACTAGCAACCCCATCCCGTGAAAATAAAACATCACTGCTACTGAAACTTCAAATCCTCTAGCTTGAATCCCTATGTTCCACTGGGAACGTAAAGGAATTATTTTTAAAAATATCAACCACTTGATATGTGTCGGAGGCTACTGCATGTACTGCCTATTCAGAAATTTCAAGTCACAGTGATGTTGATGACAGTGTGTTTTCCATAAAATTGCAACAGTAATCTTAATATAATTATCTTCCTAATGGTTTTTTATAATTTCATAACGACTTTCAATTGAATTAGCCCTGAAACCTAACAAAACTTATTAACATTGTACATTGCTTTTATTCTATATCACAGCCGGTTGCAATTCCAAAAACTTGTATTTGATTATTATATTCCCCTGGGTTGCCCGAGTGAAACATAGGGCTTTCTAACTGCAACTGCACATCTTCAGCCACTGTGGAACAGTTCAAATTTAAGTTATGCACCTGTTTTTGTATACATACAACTGATAATATTAGATACTCTTGATTCTACTTAGTTTATGCGAGTTATGGTGCTTGAAATCTCAAACACGCTTAAATAAAATAAAATAAAAAAAAAAAAACGAATTATATTTTAGTTTAACAGTAATATATATATATTTGAAGACAATACTAACTTGTGTACTAAAATGAATTGAGAATAGAAAATGTTGACTTGTACTGGCAATTGGTTAGCTTTGATCGCCTTAAGACCTTTTAAAAAGCACTCTCGCAAAATTGCATCGTGATCTGGTGGTAACTGTGGTTCTGCTAAATAGAAATATAACGCGAAATATGAAGAAATATGAGGGCATAAAGGTGTATTTGAATGTTTGTTTTTTTAACACCAGCTGAGAAATGTGTCACAGTCGACAGTGGATGATTTAACGAGTTAGCAGCAAACAGCTAATCATGCAAACTTTGTGAATTAAAGCTGTTGGAAATGCTTAACTAATAACTAATCCGAGGTTGGTAAAGGCAGTCTACACACAGGATTTAAACGTTATGAAAACAAAATTCACTACTCATTGATGAAATGACATATCTAGTAAACAAACTAATAGCAAGAATAAGGTCAACCCCGACCATGTGCATGGTCGGCGAGAGTCCTAACCACGTGCACCGACAAGATCGTGGCACAGCGGTTAGGACTCTCGCCAATCATGTACATGAGTCCGGGGTTCGATCCCCTGCCGACGCACACCTGATATCAATGGTCGGCCTGCAAAATTTGGGCTACCGGTTTCACATGCTAAAAATTCCATACTTGTACCAAAAATATACGGTGTGGAATCAAGCTAATAATCAAAAAATATATAATAAATAAAAATAAAATCGACAGTTGAAGATAACACATGTGACACACGCTATAGCCAGTCACAATAGCGCAGATAACATCGCTTTCTACTGTGTACCGAATCTGGAATAGCGGCTCTGTTAGATCCTAACACAGTTTCTATAATTTCTCCCCTATTGGTACCCTTTGTAAGACCTAGTTTTGTAATCCACCTCTGTGTATTAAGAAATGCAACGAAATTAGAAAATGTACTATTGTATTAGTTTCAGTTATGTTCTATGTGTTTAAGCGTGCCTAGTGAAGATAACACAGCTAAGACTTTTCGAACACATTTCAAATGTTCAGAAATTGAATAGGGAAATCGTTTGACAAACAAACAACAATGATAAAACTTTGTCACCAAGTTTTTTTTGTGGGATGATAATAGACAGTCCCTATTGAGCAAAGTACATAGAGAATCCTACACTTTAAAATGGACCAGCTTATTGAAAAGTAATGCAAAGAATTGTAACTAACCTGCAGACTGTTCAATATTAAGTTTATTCAGCTCTTCGCTAACATCTCCATCACCACATGTAGAGTGTTGACACGAATCTACTTGTGACTGCTGCTCATTGCTATCATTGCCTGGTGCTACCTCACAATTCTCATTCATTTTAGGCTTATCTTCCTCTATCACAGCCCATGGTAGGATAGGACGAGTAACAGATGATGCTAGAGAACTGGAAAAAAAGCAAAGATCAAAAAATATTCCTGATGCTATCGCCTTTTTAAAGGCAACTCTAGAGACGAAATTATCAACTGCATACACTGAAATAAACTTAACACTAAATAAAGTTAGATAGTTGGAGGCAATCGGCCACAGTAAGCCTTGGACCTAGGTTTCGTGCTAGTTGCCACTTACCAGTCAGCAAGGTGTATCTGCAACCTTTGAAGGAACTCATGTCCCTTCTGAGATTCGAACCCGCGTCACCCAGAGCTGCAGTCAGAGACGTCACCACTGAGCTATTCGGGCTCGCGATTGACCTCCTGTAGGACTGTAGTGGGTAGTTTGATTGGACACTAGTAACTAGTGTGACGTGTCTAGTCCTTTTGTGGTGAGAGCTGGCTGCTAGCCAAAGTTGTCAGATAGTAATTGACGTCAATGTTTATGTCCCCAATATTGGTGGTGAGAAAATGAGAACAAAGGCTTTGCGTAGGCAGATACAGTTAGCATATGGATGATCTGACACAGCCACAAAGAGATGCAAGGTTAACTTTCTGTGAGAAACAACCAATCAAAAAACTGTATTTTCTACTAACAATAATCTACAATAATGTACATTAAAATCTATAAATATGTGTTGATTTTCCTTAATAAACGATCTACTGCCTGGCCCTTGTCTTCTGTTGTTACACTTTCTTTGGTGCAGACTGAATTAAATCAGTCAGGTTGATAGAATTCAGTCTGCACCAAAGAAAGGACTAGACACGTCACACTAGTTACTAGTGTCCAATCAAACTACCAAGTTTTAGCTTATTTTCAACATGAATAGCTTCCAAACAACCGGAGGATATTGCTTTCCGCTAACACTTATCCTAATAGTCTGTCAATATATATATATATATAATTCCTTCGCGTTCCGGATGGAACATAGGGCTTCAAGCCAGAGCATTGAAGTTTCAGTAGCAGTGGTATTTTTTACGAGGGGGGAGTTGCTGGCCTCACACTCAACTTTTCCCCTTTGTTGTCGGATAGAGGAGGTAAAGGTGTGCGCCGGCCAGGAATCGAACCCCGGACTACCTGCATGGTTGGCGAGCATTCTACCGCTGTGATTCCCATTGGTCTGCTAGAAGGTAGTCGGACAGGTTACACGCAATTACAAATAAACAGCCACTTAAGTGTATAAACGACAAGGAATTGAGATTTAACGAATACAATCCACTCCATGTAGGCAGAACACTAAATTCGTTATCTATCAGGCTAAAATAAATGAACTGTAAATATAATTATTAACACACAGAAAGGTTTTGTAGCTTATGCGTTCATATTTTGGCTAATTATCAATCGTCATGTGTACACAAAAACCAACCAGTTTAAAAGAGACTAAATTACAACACCTTTTCTATGTGGCAGAAACTCATTTCTTTATAACATTTACAGGTAACAGTTGAACAATACTTTTGTTGTGGTCGTAGAGAGGAAACAAGTAATATTTTTTCACAAAGCCTATTATAAACATTAAGAAGTGGAACTTACCAAACGTGGTCACCTATGACATGAAGTACTGATACAGCTCTTCCTCTCCCAGCACTCATATACATATCATAATTGGACATCGCTGTTCGCCCAACAGCTATCGGTGCACTGAAGTATGACATTATGTTGTTTTATTTTTTTAAACGTTGAAATACCGATTGGAAGTTGTACTAATACAGCATAACACATCCTTTTCTATCTTATTAAATGTATCTGGTAGAAGGGGACCATCAGTAACTACGCCAGGAAGCATAAGATCTATAAAAATATTCCAATCTAAGAAGCTATTCAACTACCAGCTCCATTCATCAGGACAGAAATCAAATTCTCATGGACTTTGAAATGTGGAAGAATATCAGGTAAATGCCAAAGAAGGTACACTTAGTTTATGCATACATTATCAAATGAATAAAATACCCGTAGGAAGTAAGTCTTTTTCATGTTCAATAATCAGAGGAACACTGCCAAATTTGTATATATTCACCTTTACTTCAGATGCAGTGATAACTTTTAAGCGATGAACATCTTTTGTTTTAAAAGCCTCCAAAAGATTCGCGGGATCTATTTTGTACTGGCCGTAGAATGAATTTAACAGTTGCTTTCTGAAAATAACTAGATTAGTTAATTTAGAAAATGACTCGAACTTTTCAGAGGCCTTTATCTGGGTGTTCGATCTCACGATAAATGGCTTCAGAAACATCTTAGATAAGCGCTAAAGGCAGGACCTAAAATGAAATAAATTGAGTAGGTTGCGTTTAATGGATTAGACAATGAAAAATGGGTTTCTTCGAAATAAAACATATACAAGTGACATGCCATTCGTAGATATAACTCATTGAATAATTACATTTTAGATGTCAGCAAGTCTGTAATATGCAAGGAAACGTATGGATGAACTAAAATATTTTTTTAAAAGTTACCCCATAACATAGCAGTTCGAAACGACCACGGATATCTACTGACTAGTCACTGGACACACTAACTAATACTTGGTACATATGTGAGCGCCATCAGTTGCAAACTCTGTAGTCAAGAGTTATTGTTGACTACATCCGGCTTATAAATAAAACGATTGAATCTGTCACCGTATCCTAACGAACGCTGTCAGTTACATCTACGACTTCAATCCAACTGCTCTCGGCAATTTACTGTTTTGCAGTTGTCATACACTCATGACAACCTTAGATTTTTATGTGCAAGATATTTTAAGTTCATAATAGTTGAGAAACATTCAATAACACAATCTCACGCCCCACAGTGATGGGATGTTTTACTTGCAGAGTCATAACCTATAAAATTATTTTTTTGTTTTGTTAATTTATACCAAAAATACGACGTTCCCAACACCTAAAACGATTACCAAAATCGGGTTTTTATATTACTGAAAGGTCCTTCATGTGCTTCACACAGAAGACAATGTGAAAAGTTATGTACTAAAAACACCGTGGAAAATTTGCTAGGATCCCTGACTTAGTATGACAACAGATATACAGATAGATAAAAAGCTATTCCAGTACGTCAAACATAATGGGTAGTCGGTCGAATTCAAATGGATTCACATCCTGCAAAAATTGGCTTAGGCTATTTCTGTCTTGATGCTTTTAAATAATTGAATAAGACTATACCATAAGAACTATAACCTTGTTTTCCAACCAGTAAGTCACCATGTCGTACTTTGTGGCACTTACTGAAGTTCTCGAAGTTATCCGATTAGTGATATAAGTTTAAAACTTGGGCACTGTAGTAGAGTATAACTCCATAATGGATAAGATTTTATTTTAATAAATCACACAGTGTTGTACAGTTATATTAACTGATGACGTTTCGAGCACAAACTATTGCTCATAATCATATCATATCATATGGAGTTATCCGATTAGTGATATCCATCAGAGGAATACACATCTAGTTGTTCGACTTATTTAGGACTAGTCAGTCATATGTAACTGCATCCAGTGTTACCCACTAATTTACAGAGACAAGAATACAATTATTAGGTCTTAATACTTAGTAGGTGTGGTTGTGACTGAATGTCAGGATTTTATTATAAGCGGAACGTCTTTTGTTCCACAGTCTACTCAAAACCAAATGGATAACAGCAACAAAATAAATTAGTTATTCCGAACTGATATGCTACAAAAGTACAAAACTATGATACAAGTAAAACGACATCAGACTGCACCAAAGAAACTAAAAGCAATCAGATAGTCACTTATGCAATGTGAAATTGCTCTAGCACACCAATAGATGCCAAGCTTGAGTCTACTAACTTTATATACTGCTAATTCCAACAAAAAAGCAGTGTGTGATTCATGCGAATACGACAAAACACACTTGTCGAAATGACTAGTATTAGACTAATCTAGAGTATTCCCAAAGAAAAAGTGAATTAGAAGCCTTACTCTATTCTCTAATCCATTCAAACCTTCGTGGAGTCAACAGTTTTTTAAAAAAAAACTTCTCTCAGTAAAATCATATTTAGCAAAAGGCTGTACCGCCTATCTCAGTATCCACTCCTTATGACTTATATTTTCCAATGAAACTATATTGTTCTTCGTTTTTACTATCCTTTTCGCCTCATATCTCTGTTTACTATCTCTACTTTGCATTTCTTCTACTTTTTTCTCTTGCTTTGTGTGCTACATGGAGTGTGGCGACTTGAACTACTGCACATCGGTGCAAAGTTCTACGTTAAAAACAGACAGACAGACTACCTCAGTGATTCTAAAAACTCACGATGTAACAAACAGCTTTTACTTATCGCATATTTCTTTAGAGATACTCAATGCCAGTGCAAGCTACTACTTTCAAATTGTTCAATAGCGGTTAAAAGTCTTTTTAGATAGTGAAAGGCTGTTAAGAAGAAACAACAGATCTTGATTATTTCAACGCTGAATCAAAACCACATGGAGAAATGATTAGGACGAACTTGAATAACAAAATTGCAGTACAGCAAACAGTCCCGACTTCTCTACGTCTTTTTATGAACGTGAAGGCGGAACTCTACTCGTGATATTAGCCAGACTGTTAGAAAGATTTTTGACAGTGACTGGGCAGAAATTCTATTTAGTTGACATGTCTGTCTGCTTGTATAGGGTTTCTAAATTATATAAATTACTCTGTATTTATAAAGACACAACTTCACATGCTTATAATACGGTAAAACTATGAGCAGCTGCTTTGCAGAAACGCACAGAATTTCACAACCTCTAGAAAAGTAACCACCTTTAAAAAATTATACATGGCCATCCAACATTATTTCAAATTTTTATATACATGTTGAGCTGTAACTTGTCACACCCGTAATAACCATGTAATCTTTGCGCCTTTACTCCTACCAAGTGAAAGCCCAATTTATTATGTACCTTTCATAATCGAAGATCTGGATGAAAATCTGCAGATTTTCATGGGGAAATTCAATGCAAAAATTTCAAGGAAATGCACCATATTTCCTAAAGAATAGCCTTAAATAGCATTCCCTGTATTAGAGTGGTTCTTGAAAGTCAACTTTTGAAAGACCTGGACTTTGGCTATGCATACTTCAACCAATATTATTCACCAGGTTTTAATAACTTGCTCACTGAGCGTTTCTAGGTAATTGGTGCGGTCGCACTTCACTGGTGCTTAAAGTCTAACTTGGGCGGAGACTCTGAAGTTAGTTCCTTGACACAGAAACGTTAAACATACGTGTCTTACTTTGGCTGCAATGCCCTACCGTAGTCATTCAGCTTAATCTGAGCGGCAAAGTTGTACATTGTACACAGATTTCAGATTTATTAGTTGAGGATAGAAGGCTTGGAGCCTATCTTAATCCTTTTCTAGTAGATTTCTGTGCTTGCTCAAACCATTCTTGGATGAATCAGTTGAGGTTGCAGACACCACTTCTTCTGGGAGTCGGTTCCAAGAGTTTACGACTCGGCGTGAAAGCCAGTACTCAACAGCAATATGATTGCTTTTTGGCTTTTGAACTCTCCTGCTATGTCGTCTAAGGTGTTCCGGCTTGGAAGAAAGGAATAGAGATAATAGGTCAGGTCCGTAGTCATTATTTAAAATTTTAAACATTGTGATTAAATCTCCTCTCTGCCTACAGTATGACAGGGAGAAGAGATTTAGACTATCTCGTTTTTCCTCGTATGATTAGTTCGTCGTGCCGAGAATCATACGTGTTACATTCCTTTGAAACCTTTCTAGAATATTTGAGTCCCCTTTAAGACAAGGACTGGCTGTCTGAATACAGTTTTCCAGTCTTGACCTCACCAGAGATGTATATAAGGAGGTGAACATATCTCTGGTGATTCTAGTAACGGCTCTGCGAATCGCCCCTAAGGATCTGAAACTGCGTGCAGCCACCGCGTGATGGAGTGATGTAGTTTTTAAATCGTGACTTGCCATGACACCTAAATCCAAATGAGTCTGAAATGACGGGAGTTTTATTACCTTCAGTTCGTAGGAGCTGATGCATGCTTGTCGAATGCTCATGGCTGCGCATTTCGCTACATTGATAGGGAGCATCCATTCTATGGACCACTCTGGCAATTGTTTGAGGTCTTCTTTCAACGTGAGCATAAAAGTCATCTGCGTAAAGGACCATGGGGGAATCGATGAGTAGAGATAACTATTTGATACACAAAATAAATAGGAAAGGCCCGAGTACCGTGCCTTGTGGCACTCCGCTACGAACTGCTGTCCAGGAGGAGAGTTTCAAGTTGATCCTTACCCCCTGCCTCCCATCTGTGAGGACTTACCTAATCCAGTTTAGTAACCTGCCTGTGATACCAAGACTTTCCAACTTCATGAGTAGCCTTTTGTGAGGAACTTTATCGAAGGCTTTGCTGAATTCTATGAAGACGACGCCAACGGATTTTCTGTTTTCAAATCTTTAAATATAATTTCTGTTTTCCCTTGATTTGACCCAGTTTTCTCTTGTAGTGAGAAGATTTGAAAGTTATCAGATATTTCCTTCGAGGCCATGCTATGCTCCGGATAACATTTTGTTGTTTTCCAGATACGCTTTGATACTTTTCTTGATGATTCTTTCCAGTGTCTTGATTAAAATGCTGGTGAGACTAATAGGCCTGTTATTTGAAGGGCTTCGTTTCTATCCCTCTTTGTGGATGGGGGTTACTATGGCGTCTTTCCAGTCACTCGGTAACACTCCATTTAGGGGAGAGAGCTTGAAGATCGTGGTAAATGGACTGGCTAAGTGAGCTGATAGCTCCTTGAGAAGCCTTGGATGAAGATGATCAGGACCCATTGATTTATCTGCATCTAGTTTCACTAAGCAGTTGAGCACGATGCAGCCAGAGCTGATCCCATGGGGAGTGACGATTCCTGTGTAAAGACCGGGGAAAAGTAGTCTACCATTGCTTCTGCCTTTTCTCGATCTTCTCCGGTTGTGTCATTATCAATAGTGAGGTTTGGGACACCATCGGATGTTTTATTCCTGAAGTTCATGTACAAGAAAACTTTCCTAGGTTGTGCCTTCGCATTTTGAGCCAGATGTGTCCTGAACTTCATCCTTGATTGGCGAATTTCTCCAACAGCTTTGTTCACAGCAGTGTTGTACAATTCCCTGATCTCCGGAATCTCAAGTGTGGCGAATAGGTTCCAAAATTTACGAATCTCTCGGTTTATTCAAGGGGGCAATGTTTCCGATCCTTTGGGAAAGAACAAGGATGAAAGGTTCATTTACTTGGGCGTAAGGTTGTTTAAATTGGTTCCGTGCGGCTTATACTTAGGACTCTTGGTTGATGTACCAGTTGACTGAGTTGGCTGCTGAAGCGATCGCATTTATATAAGCTTTCCAAACGTCTGATCGAGCTGGGGTTTTGGCCCATGATGCTGTTGTGAGCTTGAAAGTGAGCAGAGCATGATCACTTCTTCCTAAAGGAGAAAGATGGTGTGCATGATCCACAACCTCACCATGAGGTGCAGAGTTGAAGAGAAATGCTGTGAGTCATAGTGCCTGTGCTTAATTACATGTTGAACTAAGGTTAAAGAAATGCTAGATTCCAGTAGTTGATGATCAAAGGAGTTGTCTGAAGATGCGGTTGTGAGGCTTGTCCAGTCAATTGTTGGGGCGTCGAAGTAACCGACTACAAGACTCCGACATTTCGAAGTCCAGGAGCCTAGCTTCTCTATTGGGAAGTCGTCTGCACTGCAGCCAGGAATGCGGTATGTGGTAATAAGGTCAATATCTTGGCCTATGCATTGAAGTCTGCAACGTAGAGCAGTCCGCTGTTAATTCCAAATGTTTTCAGTATTGTGAATAGTCTTGTGCCAGGCACCCTGACGAAAGTAGGCCAAAGTCTGTGTAGATAAATTCTATGGGTTTCTTGTTATCCCTAAATTTGATCCAGATTTCTTTTGATTTGAAAGGCTTCATCAGACACGAGAAGTAAACACTCTGTTGTTGGATGACAAAATGTTATTTTGCAATCGTCTTGATAGCTTCTTCAATAATTCCAGTGTCTCATTTAGAGTGCTCGTATTGCCAGAAGATTTGTAATTTGAAAGATGGCGTTGAGATCCTTCCTTGCGAGTTTCTATTGTCACTGCATTTTGTCAATTCTAGTCGCAAGGCTTCATCTGAAGGGATAGTAGTCAGATAGCGGGAGGCAGAGTGTGTGCTCATTGAGAACCCTTGGGTCAGTATCACCAGATCCCACCTAATTCCCTGCATTTAACCCACTTACTCAATGGTGACACAGTTCGGCCCTATTTAAGCGCGGTAGGAGCTAATATCACAGGTGGTCACAGCCTGAAATTGTGACATCTTTTTAATGGTCTTCCACTCTAGTGTCTGTGAGAAAAACCAAGATGAGGACTGAGTCAAACGTATTCTGGAGTTTCACGTATAAAAATAATTTCCAGGATTGCTTTGCTGAAGTTTCAGCTTTGGATCCTGGTTTTTATAAGTGTTTAACAAATTCCAGAGATATACGTTTTTCCAACTGCAGTCTGCTGTTTCATTTACTCTAGGGCGCAGGCTAGATTAAGTCCGCCGGCAGATTCAAGTTCTCACTGTCAGTACTGATGACACAGAGTCTGAGCTTCACTAGAGTTAGAAAATAAGGTGATTTAGCAACAAGTTCATCTGTTTCTGAAACATGAGGGAAACAATGAAGTCACACAAAGGCAACAATACAAAAACAACTGTCTTTCAATGTAGGACAAAAACATAACTGTATTGGGGTGTAAAACAAGGTGGCCGATGAATTACATTTGCACATAAGAGGACAGAATACATCAATTCTATAAGATCAACCCCAGATAGTGGGAGTTTACATCAAGACAACTAATAATCACGTGTAATGCGACAGACAAGGTCGGATCATATTGATTGGTGGGCTGCCATAAAGTCTGCCTGCTGCGATTGGCCACCTATATGTGACAAATGCTCTCCAGAACCCGTGTTTAAGCCATGCAGACCACAAATTTTGCACTTAGTCCATAGAGGGGAGTGTTTTGCACAGTTCGATCTATGTATGATTATCCTAGAATACCGTCACTTGAACGGACACCATGCAGCCACCACATGAGCTTCAAGGTTAACGGTCTAGCCCTCTGATGAGATGGCCGATGTAAAAGTATCTATATTGGTCTTTCACCCACTTCTTATGCTTGCATTTTTTCTCGGGATACTTCTGTAGCACCAAACTTCGTGATGTATGCGGTGGGGTCACCTCTTCCAAGGGGAGAAGCTGTTGCATGAAGTTCTAGAGACCCAGTTAGTCAGTGTACTTGCACAGATTCGAGCTTGCCTTCCGTTGGCTTCATAAAGAAATGACGCTGGTGACTATTTGTTCGTCGGTGGCACAGTGGTTAGGACTCTCGCCGACCATGCACAAGGTCCGGGGTTCGATCCCCTGCCGACGCACACCCGATATCTTTGGTCGGCCTGCAATATTTGGGCTGCCGATACCCATGCTGAGAATTCCATACTTGTACTGAAAATACGGTGTGGAATCAAGCTGTAAATCAAAATATAAAAAAATATAAAATATGAGGATAAAACTTGGGCACTGTGGTAGAGTATAACTCCATTATGGATAAAAATTTTATTCGATGAAATCACACAGTGTTATAATTAATATTTACTGATGACGTTTCGAGCACGAACTATTGCTCATTATCATATCAAGGCTATCCAGTTAGACATGCTGTTTAGAACATACTACTTGCTGGCTTCATAGCCCGACCCATCGGATCTGGCGCCCCAGCTGGTGAAGGGAGAATATGGGCTGACCACCTCAAAGGACTACTGAATTTATTACTTGTGTCTTATTGACATCCTACAGCGTGATGAGGGAATTTTGTCGTCCTAGTGCAGCCATTGTTTCCGGTATGATACTCGGTGCAGCTCCTGTATCAACTAAGAAGTCTGTGCCAGTTTTTGTCCTTGACACAGCATAGACGATCGTTCCAGCGCTGAGTCTGAATAATCGCTACTTGGCAAGGTATTGTATCCATGTTTACTTTGGGGTGGTTAAAGCCGGGGGCATGTTTATGTGCATTTAAATGTCTGCCTACACGCTGCAAGCGATACCAACACAAGTGTTATATTGATCTATTTATTCTGAGTCTACCTATTCTCCGAGAACTTGTTCTATTGGTTGATCTACCTCGTCTACCCTGTGTTAGCTGGATTTGTACAGGTTGTTCCGTTAATGATCTAACGTCGCAGATTATTTGATCCTCGCCCATACTCATGTGGTTCAACTGCATTCTCTTCGTCGACTTCTCTCCAACATCCAGTCAGTGGTGCTTGCTAAATGTTCGACAAGACCTTGTGCGTCCAGTGCGTGTTGCACAGACTCCGGGGAGTTCCATCCACTTTCGGTTCATTAAAGCCCATCCCACTATGCCCTCCACTACGAGTTTTTACAGATTGCGCAAGGACTGTTATGGGGATCTACTTCCCACGTTCCTCTCTTGAAGCGAACGTCGCACACCCTGGTTTTATGACATATGGAGGCGTTTCATCACCCCACGCTTAGGTACTGTGTATGGTTGTTCGTGTATGGTTGCTAATCGGATAAAGTAGACGAGAACACACGTCCCTTTGCCTGACGAATTCGGACCAAATGCTCTAAAAGTCAAAGTAGGGCTCTGGTCGAGAAACCATAGTTCCGGGTTATGTCCATCAAATTCAGGCAGTGCAGCTGTGGCAGTTACTAAAGAATCCTTCATCACAGAAGTAGAGCTTCTAAAGCCAGTTTCCACGTTAGGTAAATGAGACATCAAAATAAATTAAACAAATTAAACTAAATAGTGCGTACGAGTAGAAAAAATCCGACTGAATGATCACCTAACTCGACGCTGCGAAACAATTCGTCCAGACGCTGCCAATCCGTGAGAACGTTTCTCCCTAGGAGGGTTGCTTTAAGCACCTCATACGGGTTACTTTTTTGATTTACAGCTTGATTCCACACCGTATTTTCAGTACAAGTATGGAATTCTCAGCATGGATATCGGCAGCCCAAATATTGCAGGCCGACCATAGATATCGGGTGTGCGTCGGCAGGGGATCGAACCCCGGACCATGTGCATGGTCGGCGAGAGTCCTAACCACTGTGCCACCGACGCACTTACCTCTTGGCTCGACATCTGTGCAGTTACGCATTTGATTGACTCCCGCGATAGGGCGTGGACAACTGCAAGGAACTGTCAGCGTTTGTCAGTTAACTCGTGTTCACTGAAATCAAACTCCGCTATCTGAAACCATGATTCTACATTATCTGTCCAAATTGCACGAGCTGAATAGTTTTGCTAGTTGATCGGATATGGATGACCTTAGGGGTATGATCACTCACGCCAGAAATATAGTTTAAAAACAGTACAGGAACAAGTATAAAGTGGAACAAACTCAGCGGATTTGTCTGTGTATTTACCAAAGATGAATTTCGCGATCGGGCTCACCAGTTTAGAGGCTGAGGATGTTGACGTTTGAATAAAGAAAGAAGAAACATTGGCGCAGAATAATCTGGATCCATTTTATTTCGTTGGTTCTCATCAGCTGCGCACAACCTGAATTCTTTAATAAAATAAAAAATGTACAATTTTAACAAACTTTTGTCCGTCAGCAAGCGTATTGTCAGAGTGTCATAGTGAAATAAGGCGTTGCGATTTACAAGGTGTCTAAAGTTTTACGACATATATATATCTTGTTAGAGAGAAGTTTCTTGAAAAAAAAATCAACAGTTGTGTTTTTAAGGTGGTAACAAAAGACAATTAGCAATTGTTACGTAGTTAGATAAGAGAAGATGAAAATTTCGGTGCACATGAGGTCAGATGAGAAGTTGATGATGTAATACAGTGAGCAGAACTCAGACGACCGAGAAAAATTATCTCTTAAGAGAGTCAAGAGAAACATAGAGGAGGGGTGGAGTGAAAAGATAAGTTAACAAAATTAGAAAACAAAGAGTTACTAAGAAGTGAGTCAACAGTGTAATGGAAGTCCAACAACGGATTCTTTAGGGACACATAAGTCAGGCTTCACAATCGTTTTATTGTTATAGCTTCAGTGAACCTGAGAAGACTTGAGGTACTTTGTTTGTTAATTATTTTGAATGATTCCGGCACATCTACTCGGTGTCCTGTGTCAATAAGACGTTTGGCGATTGAAGAGCTTAAATAATTCGGTCCCTTTAACCGGAGGCTCCTTGGTACATGTTCGCAGAATCTGACGTAGGCCCTCCTATCTGTTCTTTCAATGTAACTGCTCTCGCAGATACATGTGAATTGGTATACACAGTTGGAGGTAACATGTGAGGGGTACTTGTCAATCTTTGACTGCACCAGTGAAGAGGTTGTTCGGGATAGAGGGACTAATAATGCTGCAGGATACGCCCTAACAGGGCTGCGCTTAATCTTTTATTTACCATTCTCATAATGTCGTCGCTGGTGTAACCGAGTTTGATGAAAATAGGCTTCTTGCTGGCTGTAGGTGACGTTCACGGATACTACGGAGTATGCTAACGCAAGGTCTATTACCCACAACTTCTATAGTATTCGTTCCGCACAGACCACAGGCAAAGTGAAACACCAGAATTGATCGTCCAAATTACGAGTTATATTTCGGGCCCACGTCGGAGTTCGAGATTATTACTTAACTAGCTGGGGATCGATCACGAACGAACGAACGTAACACGACGGCGTACCAAATGGCGTGGATGCTTGACCGGAAGCCTTCAGCTGAACAAGTCGACTAAAACAGTGATGTTAATCATCCAATATTCAGTGATGAACGTTGTGGCCAATAATTCTGGGAAATTACCTACCTGTAAATGAATGATAATGATTATTATCTGGATGCGGGGTAACATTATTTTTTTCAGTCACTCCGATCAATCTTTACGATGGCGTTGGAATGTCTCCTGCAGTCTCTAAGAACGTCCTAGGAAATGAATATTATGAAATAATATGAAAATGAGTCTAGTCACAAGGTTAAACAACAGTGGGATATAATTCCTTTTACCGGATCCGGATTCCGGATTCCGGCTAGTTCGTTCACTTCCTCGATTTTAAGAATTTATAACAGATGCTCAGAAGTGTTTTGAAGCAACTGGTCATTGATAAAGTTATTGAAGCTCATAAATGTTTAGAAGGGGGCTTACTTAATTGAATGTTAGCCAAGGACTCTAATATTCTAACTCTCACTAAAATTAAAAACGCAAATAAAATTTGAAACCTAATTTAGTTAACACAGAAGAAATACACTCCAGACAGATTTCAAGGGTAATTTAAGTTCCTCTAAAGAATATTTATGTTGAATATCGAAAAGTCGGGTACTTAGATCAAATTGTGGGAAGTCAAACTGTTGCGCTGTGCATGCATTTATGATGAACAACTTGAGGAAGATATTAAATTTGGGAGTAGTTGGTGGGGGGTTGGTTGGTGGTGCTGCGGCCCTAGGTCTAGGTCTTTCACAATCTTTGTATACAGGTTTGGCTAACTAAATATAATTAATTTGTGTCAGTTGATGGAGGTCATCGTGCTATTATATTCAGTCGTATTGGTGGAGTTCAAGATGAAATCTATCCCGAGGGTTTGCATTTCAGGTATGTTGAGCTCTTCAATTACATTTTCGTAGAATACCATGGTTCCAATATCCAATCATCTATGATATTAGATCGCGACCTCGGAAGATAACATCACCCACTGGGAGCAAGGGTGAGTCTAAACGCTGTGTCCGTCATTGTTTATAAGTAACAGTCCACTGGTGCTTTCAGTAGCACTGATAAGCAATTCCTGTGCTGGATTTGACCGACAAATCACTTCTAACTTCTGCTGATTAAACGACGAAGTGTGATGTGTAAATTCGGTGTAATATTTTTAGTAAATGGGCCGGTGACAATTGCCATACTGGAAATTAGTCATTGTTGCCTACTGTGTTTTCATAACACCTTATCATACTTTGTGTACTAGTAGTCGGTGCGTACAGATTTGAATTTGGTGAGCTAGTCACAGAATCAGGTTGTCTCATCAGTCTATCTTATTGCTAATCGAGAAAGAATATAAAACTTGAAAAAACTCCTGAATTACTGCTATTGTTAAACGTGTATGTACCCAAGTGTCGTAGAAAAATGACGGATAGTTCGCCATTGTTACTGTTATGCGTTTTCACCTGTCGACTGATAGCTGGGCATATTTAAACTATAGCAGACACCCTGATCTACTGACTTTTAGCGACAAATTTTAATTAAGGTTCAATAAAAGTCGCAGAATTGTTGGATACATAATTACAGATCATGGGATTCTGACATCCGTTTATATTTTTAAGCGAACGATTGTTTTCACTCAGAACCATCTTGTTCTGATTACACTGTAGGGTTTTTAGTTTATATTTCTGACTTGTTGAATCTACACCAGGACTGTTCCAAAAGCTTCATCAACCGACTCATTTTTTGTAAATCATGGTGTGCTTTCTGAATGAGTGTCCCCGTCTTTTTTACTCAGAAAAGTGCTGGTTAGGTGAAAAAATGAATTGTCGGGGAGACTGTTAAACCTTGTCAGGGATTACGATACAGGTAAAATGTGGATAGGTCTCTGATGCAACACCGAAGAATTAAGTCATGTTTCGTCTCCTCTCTCCTGTCATGTGCAGTACTAAGTGTGAAATAGTTTTTTAAGGTTCATTTTATCTCCACTGAGTTAGATTTCGTATAATTATATTAACACAGCAAACATCACTGTCCTTATTTAACGGCGACTTCTTCCTGGTGGGCATCTGTATGCTGTTGTCTGACTGCTTGCGTGTTAGTCAGTCTAAGAATTCCTCTCTGTATCACTTTCAGATCTCCAAACTGTGAACCTCACATTGCGCGTCTTATCTCGACCTGAAGTCTCGCAGCTTCCAAATATATATCGTACGTTGGGTACTGATTATGATGAACGCGTATTGCCGTCTATTGTCAATGAAGTTTTGAAGGCGGTGGTAGCTAAATTCAATGCTAGCCAGTTGATTACTCAGCGTCAACAAGTGTCTCTGTTAATCCGTAAGCAGTTAATTGACCGAGCTAGTGATTTCCACATAATCGTTGATGATGTCTCCATCACCGATTTGACATTTTCGCAAGTTTATTCAGCTGCTGTCGAAGCTAAACAGGTTTGTGTATCCCCATGTTATTATTTATAATTGTTATTTCATATCTTTGTACAGCTTTGAATTAATAGTTTTATTATTGTAGTCTGATTAGGATAATTCAGTTTGCTTCAAAGACTAGAAGTTGCTATTGCCAAAGATGCTGGTTGGGCATTTTGATTTAGAACTGCGCACAACTCTATATTTTCTTTTGGCTGGTTTAATATGTCTAGTCTGTTGGAATCAACATTCGGTTAACAGACTGTGTCACTAGTGTCATCTCGATAAATTGGTAATTGGTACTAAAATTGCTCTTGAAGTTGATGAGTAGTTTCCATAGCGAAGTACCATATATCATATCCGAATTTCCTGAATTTATTTGTTACTACATTCTTACGAAACAATAAGTAATGGTGAAGCAGCATTTGCTAGTTTTGATCTGCTATTTGCATTAAAAGCCAATTGTTGTTCCATGTTTCTATATTTTCTCCCTCAAATTTCCGCTTATTATAATTCTTTCGAATTTCTTTTTCTCTGTCTCTTTATTTGTGTGCTACACGGGGGGGGGGGGCAACTCAAACTGCTTTACTTCTATGCAGAGTCCTATGTTGAAACTAGTCAATCACTCAGTCAAATAGCTAAATACGACAGGATTATTTTTCGTATGTTCTAAGGGTTTAGATTGATATATATATATATCTCCTCAATTTTCCGGATCTTAGCTTCAGCGTCCAGTCTTTGTCTAAGTATCAAGATATTATGACGACCCATTTCGAGTAGCTTGACATATACGTCCTTCTTAGAGGCCAGTTTGGAGAATGAGTCTTAGTGTTCTGACCATTATATCTCTTTGTGAACTCATTTGAACAATTAATTTTCAGTGATTAAGGCACTCTACTCGTACTCATGCAGTCAGGTGAGGGCTTACGGCGAGTTGTCATCTGAAGTGGTGACGACTAGTGGCGTCCGTCAAGGATGCCCATTATCCCCATTCCTATTCAACTTCATCATAGACGTACTAATGGACTTAACCCTAACACACTTCAGCGACTCAAGGATTGACTTGCTACCAGGGAATAATCTCGTCGACTTAGAATATGCCGACGACATAATCCTTCTAGGCGAGGACGCTGACAAAATGCAGAGTCTACTGAACACCTTGAGCAACAATCTTCGTATGTTTGGTATGCGATTCGCCCCTGTAAAATGTAAGATGATGCTGCAGGATTGGACTTCACCAACCCCCAAATTAGAAATAGGTAGTGAAGTGGTAGAGCGCGTTGACCGCTTATTTTTGGGAAGTACCATCAGCCCCAACGGGTTGATCTCTGACGAAATCTCAGCACGAATACAGAAGGCTAGTTTCGCACATGCCAGTTTACACCGTCTCTGACGTAGACGTGATATCCGACTATCGACCAAAGGACGTGTGTACTGCTCAACAGTCGGCTCCGTCCTCCTTTATGTCTGTGAGACCTGGCCATTGAGAGCCGAAGACATGAAAAGCCTAGCTGGCTGTCTTCGATCATAGGTGTCTGCGTTCTATTTCCCGTGTGAAGTGGTATAATAAGGTGAGCAATATTGAGTTTAGGCCTCGGTCGAGTGCTAGGTAAGGAGGGAGGGGAAATCAATCGACGAGACTATGAAGTTACACCGATTGAGATGGTTAGGACATGTGCTACGTATGCCTAGTCATTGCCTTCCTCAACGGGCAATGTTAGCTGATATAGGGTCAGGCTGGAAAAGAAAACATGGCACCAGTCAATGAAATCCACAACAGTTAGTCTAAGCCACGTAGGAGGGTGTAGACTTCCTGGTTGGGGTCCTCGGGACGGTAAAAACCAATGGTTGGAAACAATTGGTGAAATGGCTCAAAATCGTTCTCAATGGCTGGCGCACATGCATCCACTCCTTGTGACTTATGATTTCCAATGAAACTGTTTTGTTCTTCGTTATTACTATTCCTTTGTCTCATATCCCTGTCTACTGTCTATATTATGCATTTCTCCTACTTTCTTCTCTTGTTTTGTGTGCTACAAAGAGGGAGTGTGGCGACTTGAACTGCCGCACATATGTGCAAAGTTCTATGTCGAAAACCGACCGACCGACCGATTAATTTTCAGTCAGTATTGTTCCTTCATCTTCGAATATATATCTCCTGTGTATATCCATTGTAGTCTTTCACGTGATCTATTTCTATTCTCTCATCGTCTAACACCATTATATTCATATAAATCCCTGTGACAAATACATATTTGGCCAGATTGTTTGGAATGTGTAGCACAAATACACTACGCTATTCAGATAAATCGCATCTTATTGTTTTGTCGAAGTTCATAAAGTGAACTAAATGTTACTTTATTGTCTCATATATTTTCAAAATACTTAAGTTATTTGTATATAGTGCAATGAATTGATCTAAATGTCACATAGTAGATTATTAACGCGGTTTGTACATTTGGTAATAAGTTGTCTTTATCATTATTTGTTTTTATTGGTTTGTTCAGTAAGTATTGTCACTCAAAGGTTGTTCGCAATCTAACAGTTTCCTATTGCAGATTGAAAACTGATCAAAATATATTTTGGAATTAAAGCATGTGACTATTAGGTTGGCTCACTGCGGATATTTCAGTTTACATGACTAGGGTTAGGTGTCTATTCTTCTCCCTAGTGGAAGAAAATTTTTGAACGACTAATTGTAACGCTATCAAAAAAGAGATTCAAGAACACGGTTCCCTAAATTCTGTGTGGTGATTGATAGAGATGTCCTCGTGATATTATCGTTTTTTATTCATACCTAGAGTAAGAATAAAGTCGCGATACGAAGGAACATAACATCAGCTTATTTTTGGACTCAATATTGCATAGTTTATTTGTACATCATTGTTAGTCATATCTGTGTTTAGCGTGTAAGAAAATTGAGCTCTATTAGTATCCGCTGTATGCTACACTATATACATAGTGTTAATTCACAATATTTATTTATCGGATCACATAATATTTAATCTCAGTGTTATCCAAAAGTCGGCGATAAGCTTAGTGCATTCATTAGTGAGAAACAGACTACTTCTAAATTGACATTCAGTTTTCACAATATCCATATGACACTTTATAGTACGAAATCTAATCAACTTAGTTTATAGTGTGAAATTACTTCTCAAAAGGGGTTCACCAAAACATAGAAGTTGTGAATTTAGCGATATAACAGAAGAGTACAGTTGCTTGTCCCTAAAAACACAGTTAAATCATTTCTAGTGTTTGCTTCAGTTCTATATAATTTATGTACTTTTGTACCGTAAGTTAGCTTAACTGCGCATGCTAGTTTGCACCAAATGTTATGTAAGTCCAACTATTTACTATTCTGTTAACGTTGCTTATAACACCAAGTCTACATAATTACGGCGAAATCTATGGTCTGATATCTTTTATATTTCAGTTAGCTTGCTCATAACGAAGTGAAAGTACATGAATTTTCATAACCATTCATTAATAATTGATATTCAGAATTTCGGGTACCATGTACACACTATTTTTTTTTGACCTACGTTAATAGATTGCTCTCCAAGAAGCACAACGTGCACAGTTTCTTGTTGAACGTGCTAAACAAGAACGCCAACAGAAGATAGTTACAGCTGAGGGTGAAGCTCAAGCCGCAAAATTGATCGGTGATGCACTGGCTCAAAATCCGGGATACCTTAAACTCAGAAAAATTAAAGCAGCCACTCAAATTGCTAGAACAGTAAGACATTCTTCGATTTTTATTTTCTATTGTGTTCACTTATGTAAATACCCAGATTTCTTTACATTCATATTTTTGATCAGTCATTACTAGTCAGTTATCAGAAATATTTATAACTCATGAATACAAAGAAGACCTATGTTTTACACAGCATCTAACTGTGTTTCTTACGCGAAACGCATACACGTGAATGAATGGTATCGTTGGAATAATAAAAACCTCTCTGTGATTACTAACGAGGAAATAATAAACATCATCTGTCCACCGTCTCTCTCGGAAATGTTGGAACGTTGAAATTTGCCTTAGTGTTTATAATCTTTGAAATCAGTGTATTCTATGTAAGATTCTATGTATGTGCGTCGGTGGCATCGCGGTTAGGACGCTTGCCGACCATGCACATGGTCCGGGGTTCGATCCCCGGCCGACGCACTCCTTTACGTCGCTAAGCCAGAAATAACGCTGGTGAAGAGGAAAGGTTGGGCATGAGGCTAGCAACCCCATCCTGTAAAAATAATCGCCACTGCTACGGAAACTTCAGGTCTCTAGCTTGAAGCCCTATGTTCCACTGGGGAACGTGAAGGAAAAAAGAATGTAAGACATTGTGATCTATGAAAGCTTCATTTCGTCACTTAGTTTGGTTTATTATAAATTCGTATTAGTTAGCGAATAAATACATCTCAACAGTTGTAAAATTATTGCAACCATGTATCGATAGGACAAAGTTTTCAGGTGATTCTATTCGTGACAGTATATTTTATGCTATCCTTAGTAGTCAAAGCAAGAGATTTATGATTGTATCCATAGTTACTGGATGTAAACAACAAGTAACCGTGTTCTAGATGTTACCTGAAGTACTTACTCTATTTGTTTTCCACATGTTACTACAGTCCCACTACTTGAACACAATTTCCGAACAATTATTTTCTAAACGTTCACTTAAAAATGACATAGGTAAAAACTGAAAGGGATGTTGTCTAACATCTTGAAATAAATCCAAGCGGTGAGGTTGAATCCCGCTTATCCGACCAAAATTTAGTTTACTCAGCGTCCTTAACTTTATTCCGTTACTGTGTCGTCTTGCCAGGACCTGTATATTCTCTGATTTGCATCAGTGTGAAAACATTGTAGGTGGTGGTTAACTTGAACGCGACAGGCGGTTTAAGGACATTCGTCTTAAATGTTGCACTGGAGATCAGCATTTTGACAATACGATGACTTAATTATTATTATTATTATTATTATTGTTATTAATAGAACAAAAACTTGGCACATTATTAGCACCAAAAGATGCGCCACACAAAGACGCATAGTTTGTGCGAGGTCTGGGTTAATGCCCGGGTGTCCACACCGGAGTAGGTGGTGGTCTTTGACTTGAAGTCTGGTCCAAAAGACATTAGAGCAACGTTCCCACAGTTGCTGCTGACCAAAACAGGTTCATGCACCATTCGATTCGTTAGGATTCAAGAGCCTGTGTACACACACCATAGGTTTGGAATCAAAGTCTTCCTGCTCCCTTAGGTAGAACTGCATATCCACCAGTCCAGTTGTAAGCGGCGCCATACGTTCGCATTTGCCGTTTCAACTTTGTGAGGAACACGCGCCGCGCCGCGTAAATAGGACTTACCTGGCAGAGACTATTTACACGTAACCACATGTGAGAGCATTTCGCATCCAACCACTTACGGCCCCGTACCAGGTCGCTTTTGAGGGTTCATCTCTTGGTGTCCACAATGTACCAATTTTGTGTTTTGAATGAATAGACTACGATTACGACATTGTGTTGTCTCATAAAAAGCAACTCGCATATCATTCGATTGTTTTCTGTTATTATTTGAATTATTCGAAGACAGAAAAGCTTACTACATAATTTGTACAATGATAAATGTGCGCTAAATTTCTACAGTTAATGTTCGCTTTAAAAGAAAGCATAATTTCATTTGAATGTAATTTCAGAAATGTACAAAAGAGAAATTAAAAAAAATTTTCTTCTATTATAACAGGTTGCACAGTCACAGAATCGTGCATTTTTACACTCTGGTTCTCTTATCCTGAATGTCGCCGATCCCAAATATGATGCCGGTTTGGACGTATTGAGGAAAAAGTGAATCATCATCACCTTACCTCTCCTGTATGCTTCAATATTCCCAGTGGTTCGGAGTTTTTTTAGGCTAGTCTCTTTCCACTTTGAATTCCCTTTACATTGTTGGCGTATGTGTGTATTTCGTGCTACTTTTTCTAACTTACGAAACTCTCTTGTATATGATTAGTGTACAATTTAAATTAATTGTTGAACTATTATCATTTTTTTCAAAATAAAATTACTGAAAGAAATGAATACCGACTGCTCATCCATCAGACACTGTGAAGTGCCATAACGTTGGTTTACCTTAAAAAAAATAGGCCAGTTGTGTGACGATTCAGAAGCAGGCAGTTTCCTTTGTCTGTGTTAACTAGTTTCCAAGAGCTGAGGGTGTTTTTTTATAACTTTACATGCCATTGACTGCTGCAGTTCGACATTTGTACACAGTCGGTCTAATCTTGTGGCTTGACTACGTGTGAATGCCTACCGATAGCTGCTATCCTGACGTGGTGGTCGGGCTTGCATATCACAATGACTCAGCAAGCTACACTGGCTGGGACTAATGCTCCTGCAGGTCCAACCATGTCAGGAAGATTGTTAGGATAGCGATTACACTAAAGGCAGTTTTGGAACATGTGCTTAGACTGTGATCACGCTCTGGTTCGTGCACGTTTATGCTTAAGATTCAACGGACATTAAAAAGTGTTGGCAGCGAATCAGTCACGTCCCCAACTAGATCAAGACACTAAGTCCCTGTTTAAGTAAGAAGTAGCGAAACGCGTATCTGAGGTCGACATCAAGGTTCCTCCTGAGGAAGCTTGGCATAACATACAGTTAGCTGTAAAGGCTGTTAGTGACCTAAAACCAACAGTTAGTAAGAGCCAGTGGATTTCTACTACCCCATCCGAACGACTTATTTCCGCGAACTTCGAAAGTTATGGGGAGCGAAGGTTTCTCAAACAACTAAGATAACACAAAATGTTATGCGTTGATTAGGTGGTGTTCGGGAGAAAAAACGCAAAGAAATCAAGCAGGCTTTAAACCAGGAAGAGAATGTACTGACCATATCTTCACCGTTCGACAGATTCTGGAAGTTAGGCATACTTACCTGCGTCCAACAATCGTCATATACCTGAAGTTGGCATTCGATTCCGTCGACCGAGAGGTACTAAGGCGGTGTTTGGCTGTGAAGGGAATGCCGAGAAAATACACCTCACTGATCAAGGCTCTCTACTCGTACTCCATGATGTTGAAGTGGTCTTGCATAAAGCTAGTTATTCCGCATAGAAACTACGAAGTGACAGTTCAATTTAGATAACGCTTCTTTTACTCTACTTGGTATTCTCGTAATTCACCAGTAATACTACACGTTGAGGAAACCGTTGAATGACATCGCGCTCCAGGCCATCGATCGAGTGGAACCCGAATGGAAAACGGCGAGTGGATCGTCCTAGGTTTAAATAGAGGAAATCAAGCGAAACGGAGGTCGGTCGGAGGTGAGAGTTTATGGGCAATAGTGTGCTCAGCTAACAAGGACAGCAGAGGTAAAGATGTGTTTTTGAAGCCCTATGTTCCATTCAGAACTCAAGGGAACAATAGTAATACTACACCAGGGAATGTAAATTTATCATGATTATTTGATATTCGCTAGTTAGTTATCAGCCAGTTATCTAAGTAATCACCAGCTGTGATGTTAAATGTGAGTTACTAACATTCTCTTGTTCCCTGATTCAATATTCCCTGTCCGACTAATCAGTTCAGGAAAGGATGCGAGATGAGCAGAACTTGTATCTAAATAGATTACTAGCAAGATTAACTGACCGGTTTCAACATAGAATTTTGCACCGATGTGCAGCAGTTCGAGTTGCCACACTCCATGTAGCACAAAGGAAGAGAAGAAAGTAAAAACAGATTCAAGAGACAAAATAAACAGAAATATAAGGCAAAAAGAATAGTAATATGGAAGGACAATAGATTTTTATTGGATATTATAAGTCACAATAAATGGATGCATCTGCGTCAGCCATTGAGAACGATCATTTTGAGCCATATCACCGATTGTCTCTAGCCTCCATTGGTTTTTACCATCCCGAAGACCCCAACCAGTTAGGAAGTCTACATCTCCCTACGTCGCTGGCTTAAGCTAACTGTTGTGGATTTCATTGACTGGTGAAGCCATGTTTCCGTTTGACCGCCGCTAGCTCTTTTCCAACCTGACCCTATGTCAGCTAACATTTCCCGTCGAGGAAGGCAGTGACTAGACATGCGTAACACATGTCCCAACCATCTCAGTCGATGTAACTTCACAACCTCGTCTATTGATTTCTCCTCCCACCTACCAAAAACTCGACGCCTAACCTCAATATTGCTCACCCTATTATACCACATCACATGGGAGATAGAACGCAGGCACTTATGATCAAAGACAACTAGCCAGGCTTTTCATCTCTTCCACTTTCAATGGCCGTGTCTCACTCACAGTCAGCTATAAAGCAGGATGGAACGAATTGCTGCTGTTGAGCAGGGCGCACATCCTTTGGTCGATAGCCAGACGGATATCACGCCTACTAAACCAGTGATGGTGTACATTGGCTAACAAATGCCAGACGAGCCTTCTGTAACCATGCTGAGATTTCGTCAGCGATCGACTCCCCAAATAAATGAAGTGGTCGACGCGCTCTACCACTAGAAAGAAAAAATATTACATAATGCTGATCCGACACAGTCGAGTTTAAAAAAGATAAAGTTAATGAGTTGTCTGTCAGTCTTACTTTCAACCATAATTCGCACAGTGTGAATTTTGATTGAGCTATCCCTGACTATTTATCGATCAGTAATGTCGTTCTTTATCTTCGTATGTATCAACAATTCTATTTTACTGCAATAATCCTTGTTTGTTTTTCATGCCTTAAATAGAGTCAGAGTTTCACTAACTTTTGTAAGTGTAATATGACCTTGCCAGTTCAGTCATCAAATTACTGCATTTATGGACGAGTTTTCCAGGTCCTTTACGTACATCGCGACGTTAATTAGTGCGAATTAAACTTGAGACTGATTTGGATGCCAAATGCTCTGAGATAATAATAATATTATTTTTGTAACTATTATTTCTTTGTTGGATTCCTAGTGGATTATAAAGCTGCAGCACATCTCTATTCCACTGTGTTCTCTGCAGTCTTTTATAGCTGGCCTCACGATAACCCATAGGCTTCCATTTCCCCTTTACACACAGTCTCCTCGGTGTCATCCTTGGACGCCAAACTCGTTTCCCACTAGGATTCCACTCGGGGGCGGGGCGTGCAGTGTCACTGAACGATCTTCGCAGACTTTGTCCAATCCATCTCAGTTTACTTCAGCATATCAGTTGGGTGTAATATGCTCTTGGGTGGTTCGTCGCCACAGTTCCTTGTTGGTTATCTGACCTTAGGTACCGAGCGAAGGAAGAAAGCTGTTGATGGAAGTCTACAGCCTTTTGGAAGTGCCTCTCTTGACTGATGCACGCGCCAAGTCTCTGAACAATACAGAAGCACAGTTCTTGAATAGTTTTAAGTAGCCATCCTTTGATAGTTTGTCAAAATAGCCTTTATTCTAGTTGACAGATACAGTCCTCTCTTGCACCAGTCGTGTGAGCATTTGAGTGAGTTTTACTCTCTGGGTCCGTTTTCAGTGCTTCTGGGGGAAGTCCATCTGGTCCTACTGTTTTCCGGTCCACAGTAACTTCAAGGCTTCTGTCAGTTCTGTGTCTGCTGACGGTATTTTTCTGGACACCTTGCAGATGGTGGTCGATTTAGAAGTTTTTTCAAGTGACCATCCATTGTACTTTCCTTTGTTTCACCTCTGGTAATTAGGTCTCCATCGACTATCTTTGATTTTTTCTTCATCAGTGTTGATATCTTTCCAGACAGCGACCTGGTTATCTAATGTTGCGAAGTGTTTCTTACGGCCAACTTATACTTCTTCAGCTTACAGTGTGTTGTAAAAGTGTCGTTAGTTTTTGTAGCACTTGTTTGTTCAGTGCACTGTGAATGATAATCAGCGCCTTCCTTAGGTTGTTCAGCTGCTTCGCCATCATTCATCTATTAGCCTCCATCGGTTCGTACAGAACTATTGCTTGTCTCGCCTCTTATTTCCTAAGTTTTCTAAACACGTCTCTCTCAGAGAGTTCCTGTGTACTTCCATGCGAGTTTCCTCGATGACATTGCTGAATGTCTCCAACTTTTCTCTGATGACTGCTATTCAGTGTCTGAGTGTTGAACTTGAATTGCGGTCTGTTTCTGGCTTCTTTCAAGACTCACACCTTTACTTTGAAGGCTTGTTTGGTCTGTTAGTCGGATGAAACCCATATCCCTTTGCTAGTACACTGCCTCAGATCACCGAATCATTGAAAGCGGAGAAGTCTGCGAAGGGTTTGCCGTTCTCACTCATTTCACTGCGTACGCGCCTCCCAACTCATGATGAATTCTCTTCCTGTGTTGTCTTCTGCCAGTTTGGTTTGCATTCATATCACCCATCGTGATTTCAATCTTTCTATTTGTCTCGGTTCTTGTCTATTACTGTTTGCAGTTATCTGTAGGATTCTTCCTTCTTCCCTTGATCTGCATTGTCTGTAAGAGAATAGCACTGGATGATTGTAACTCTCCTACTTTATAAATTGAATCTTGTTGTCAGTATTCTAGAGGAGAACGGTTCCCACTACATGAAAGCCTTCCATGCTGTTGATAACATCATAACAGCTGCTCTTTCACTGTGCTCATGGTTGTTGTCCAAATGACCAGAGTAGATCGTTGAGTCTCCAGTTAACAGTTTAGTGAGTCCACTTCCGTTCCATCTGCTCTCACAAGTGGCCAACATTTATACTCATATCCTCGCATTTCTTTCGCAATTTGGGTAGCCTTGCCAGCCGCTCCCAAGAATAGTACGGGTACTGTATTTCTCTATGTTTATAACATGCAGGGATACATTAATAAAAACTATATCACTGTGTGTTATATCATATAAAATTATCTAATATGTACATGCTGCATGCCAAGTAATCCACAACGGGAAACTCACGGAATCCTTCGAAGTGAAGACGGGAGTAAGACAAGCTGGCTGCCTACTATCTCCAATGATTTCTCTGATTGTGGTAGACTGGATAATGTGACAGACAGACGGCGGGCAACGAGGAAACAGGCATAAAATGGACCCATACAAAAAAGAACTTGGAGGATCTCGATGTCTGATTTCCCAAAAAATGGAAGAT